CTGGTCTTGTTTAATTTTTTATATTTAAGGTATGAACTAGCATCAGGGGAAAGTTATCTTCGCCAAGGTGAGCTGGGAAGGTCTTTAAAGAAGTTTCTGGCAGTGGAGAAGCATTACGCGGATATCACGGAGGACCAGTTTGATTTTCACTCCTACTGCCTAAGAAAAATGACTCTGAGGGCCTACGTGGAAATGTTGAAGTTTCAAGACCGGCTTCATTCACATGCATATTTTCGCAAAGCAGCTAGTGGTGCTATCAGGTACTGATTATTGACTTGCTCAATCTTCAAATTTTTGGTTGCTCTCAACTATGTGGTTCTACTTTGTATTATTAGTGAACTTTCTGTTAAAGTGGAAACAATAGAAGGACTGGAACTCTTCTGCTTATAGTATCCTAGCTTTCTGGTTTGATTACATGCAACTTGCAAGCTTACTGAGAATTACTTTGCTGAAACTCTTTATGTTTTTATGCTTTGTTTTGCCTCTATATTAGATGCTATCTGAAGCTGTATGATTCTCCTTTGAAGTCAGCATCTGAAGAGGATGATGCAATGTCCAAGTTGCCTCCTTCTCAGAAAAAGAAATTAAAGCAAAAACTGAGGAAAGCAGAAGCACGAGCTAAGAAAGTACTCAAATTTGCTACTTTTTGTTCTTTGAAAATTTCAACTTAGTAATAGGTGCCTTAATCTTTTGAATTATGTTTAGGATGCAGAAGTCAAAATTGAGGAATCCAATGCAACTAGTGCTACTAAATCTGGAAAGCGCCATGTGAAGCCTGTAGATCCTGATCCACATGGTGAAAAATTGATTCAGGTATTCCCTTTTCTGCCATCTGTTGCATCTTTTAGGTATAAAACATCCATCAATTCATTGCAGAATTTTTTTTGATATTGCATTCTTTGCACAATTCTAGTATGAATTCAGAGTAGTCAGGAGTAACTGTTAGGTTTTTATTATATTTTGATGAAGACTATTCCATTATCTTCTAATGGAGTTAATGATGATGGGTATGTTGTTGCACTTTGGGTTTAAATTTGTATGGAATATGAAGTATCCATGCAAAGATGTTTTGAAGATAAAAGTAGCTCAATACAGAAGATTAAGATGAATTGTATTTTGTAATGTCATTTTTGGTGTAAAGAAAAACAAATGTAGATGAAGTAGCATCAATCATAGAATCCCTGTGAGCTCAACAGGCGATATTTTTGCTTTTTGTGATCTGTTAATATGGATTCCGGCACTTCCTTTGTGCTGATGTTTTAATATACTGTTACCTTCTGTAATTTTTTTGAGTGATCAAACATCTGTTACTTGGGATATCGTGTCAAACACTCAGAATGCTTGATGAAAATCCAAACATCTCCAGTAAAATGGGAAGAACAGTGTTTTAATAATTTCTACCACTTGGTATTTTCTGATTTTGACGAGTTCACTCTTGTTACTAAACCTTTCAGACTGAAGATCCTCTGGCAGAAGCCTCAAAGTACCTCAAGCTTCTCCTTAAGCACTCACCAGATTTCTTGGAGACACATTTGCTGTCCTTTGACGTAAACATGAGGAAGCAGAAGATCTTGCTTGCCTTGCAGGTAATATCCTTTATAATTCAATTGAGATTGAGAAAGTTATTCTTTCCTTAGAACAAGATCCTGTCAATCTTCTATTATATGTATATCGGTATTCTTTGTGGCATAGTAGTGGGCTAGTGGCCATGCATATAGTTAGCTGCTTGAGTATACCATGCTTCCTTGTCTTTCCCCCTTTGTTTAGTTCCCCATTGCTAGTTGTATCTGGATTCGGGAATTGTAATCTTCATTTTCTGCTGTGGTTTTGAAAAAAAGAAAGAGAGATGTCACCTAAAATAGTTGGGCTCATGTTTTACATCCTTAAAAGCACTGCCATCAAAGTTGTTATAAAGGATGAGGTTGACCTCTCATCATATGGAGGATAGTTTTCTCAAAAGACCTGCATAGAACATTATGAAAGCATGGAAGCAAATTGATTTTATAGGAGAGACCAAGGACTAAGGCTAGTCAATTGGTACCTTTGTTCCAGGTCTGGTGGTTGATATGAGCTTTTTTTAGTTTGGATAGGGATTTTATGCCAGTGCCAGGATAATTATGATGTTTAACAGTATTCGCTTATTTCACAATTTTTTGTGTTAGAATCAAACGGCGGGCCTCTAGATGTAACGTGATGGTTATTGAAGCTTTGTTTGGTTGACCTGCATCTATTTTGAGCTTGAGATGTAGTCATAGTAGTAGTTGTTTTAGGAATATTGACAAACAATCACTTCGATCTTTTTATTTTTCCAGGCAATAAAGCATTTAATGCGGTTGGATGCAGATGATCCAAAATCACATCTGTGCTTGGTATGCTTTTACGGCATCAATACTTCCAGTGATATTACTGTTTTATAAAACACGTCACGCTCTATTTCTCGAAGTACTCATATTTGCTTCTCTCTCATATGGACTATAATCTCTTTGCAGATGAAGTTCTTCCATAAAGTTGACTCCTTGCCTACTCTAGTAACTGATTCTGAAAAGCTCATCTGGGGTGTCTTGGAAGCAGAGCGACCTGCCTTTAGGTCATCTTGAATGCACTTCTCTTTTCTCTATATATCTTATGTTTAAATGCTATCAGTGTTGATACTCTACCAGTTATAGTACTTCCATTGATTTGGAATTTACAAAACCCCCAACTAGTTGGGATTGTCGATCTTATTATTGTATGATGTTATTGATTGTAATTATACTAAGGTTTCTGTATGTTTCTAATTGACCTTTCCAGCCAGTTGCATGGTAAATCTCTCATTGAGGCAAACAACACTTTTCTTGAGAAACATAAAGGTTAGCGTCTAACAGTAACATTCTTTTATTAGTTTATTTTGCATCGTTACTCCTCTCATTCTTGAAGAAAACATGATTTCCCATTGTGTGGTGTTTGCAGAATCATTGATGCATAGGGCTGCTGTGGCTGAGTTGCTACATGTTCTGGAACCAAACAAGAAGGCTGAGGCTGTCAAATTAATTGAAGACTCTGTTAATGATCTTGTTTCTATGTAAGACCCTGTTTTCATCACGTTAATTTGTATTCTCATTACATAGCTGATAATATTTCGTTATATTTGCAAAATAGTAATAAATCGCCTCTGTTTTTACTTTTCTACAAATTAGGGACGGAGGAAAAGGAACTGTCAGGTCATGGAAATTGAACGACTGCATGACAGTTCACAAACTCCTGGAGACAACTCTGGTTGACCATGATGCTGCATCCAGTGAGTTCTTTACCATTGCGCACATCCTTCTGTCTTTTCATATTGTACATCTCAAGTCTTCTCTTGGCCTGAAGTTGAGCTGAAGTTAACTGCATTCATATGTTTGACTCTGGTTCTGGTATATTGCTATTGTAGCCTGTTCTTTTTTTTTTTCATGCATCCATTCCTTTTCTGTTGATTTGGGTGGCTGGTGGATATATTATTTTGTCTACGTTATGTATGAGATGATCCTTTTCTGTCAAATACATAAGTGACAACGTACTTACACGATATTTGATGATTCTATGGGTAGTGATGTTTTTGAGACATTGTTGTAGGATGGAAAGTTCGTTGTGCTGAGTACTTTGTCCACTCAACTTACTTTGGAGGTATTCAAAGTTCAGCTAACAATCAGGTACAGAAATCCCCTGCAAATGGAGCTGTAGGCCTAAATGCTGGTGAAAATTCTTCTCTTTCATCAAATGGTAGATTAGAGAAACTAAATGCGCTTAAGGATCTACAAATTTAATTGTACACTTCGAGCTGAAGTGTAATCTCTCTGGAAGAGTGCTGGAGAAGCCAAGTGGAACTATATCAAGCTTCTAGAGTATACACTTGACAACATTAGGATGGTTCTAAAGGAAATTTTCAGCTCTTCGAGGGTTCTTGTTGCTTCTGGACTGGTTCTCCACCCCTGATTTGATCTGATTATCATTGACACGAAGATAGTAGTACACTCCTGTCTTGCCAAGGGTCAGGTCAAATACAAGGAAGAGTTTGTGGCTTGGCGTGAAGCATTTTCAACAACTTTCAGATTTGAAGTTTGAGCTCTTGGAAGTCTGTTTAAGTAGTCGGATCCTTCATTCCGACAGCATAGAAAAAGGATGACTTAAAGTGCATGTTGTATTTTTTTCATTTAGTTCTCCATTTTTCTTTGTGTACAAATGCTGTTTTATGTGAAAGAAATTTTGCCATAGTATTTAGAGAAAATGATAAACTCATACAGCTGCAGTGATGCATTTCTTATGATAGCGGATGATATTTATTATTCAGTTTTAGAAAATTACTAATTTTTTCCCCCCTGAAAACTGTTTTTTCCCATACTTGAGAATCGAGTGATGGCTAGGCTGAAAATTAGAACGTTGGTCGAGGTGAATGTATGTATGACCTATTCTTTAATAAAGCTTAACTGACAAATAGACATTTTGGAGATTGTTTGTTATCTTGTGAACTTTTTTACTCTCTGAAACTCTGAATAAAAGGGCAAGATAAGCTGTAGCATATCTGAGGTAGGAGGTCGACTACAAGACAGTTTGAAATTAATTTTAAACCATTGAAACACAAAATTTTAAACCTATCGAAAAATAATTTCTTTTTTTGTTAGTTTATTTCCTTTTGTAATTGAAAAAGATGTTACTCAAGAAAATAAAGAAACTTTCAGGTCTAGTGTCCTTTAAATAACAATAATATTTTAGGTCTAGTGTTAAAAGTGCAGTCTATGGGGGTTAACAATACACTTCCATTATTCATTTGATTATGTTCTCAAAAAAACCCTGTGACATGCAAATTCATAAGGAGCTTTAGATGGAGCACTGATATAAACAAATTTCTCTAAAACATTTTGGTATTCCATTAAACACCATATGATGATGACAATATTTTTGAAAACTGTGTCATGCAATTATTATGGGAATAAAAGTGGAGGTAAAATCAATAACATTGGAAGGACAATTGTTTTATAGACACGTGTAACATGTTTCTTGGCTGCAGAATGCTCTTGCAGAGGTGAGTACTCTGCAGAATCATTTTTAGCAAGCTCATCAGTAGCTGCTAGTTGCTTGTGTGAGAGAGAAAAAGATTTCAACTTTGAAGAGAAAATGGGGAAGAGAAGGAGACCAAGAATGGATGAAGATCAAAAAAATACTACAAGTGTTGAAGGAGCCACCCCTTTTCAAGAATCTCAACAACAGCAAGAAGCAGTGGCTTCTCGAAGGAGTGGAAGAGTGTTGAGGATGAAACAAGAACCCCAACAAGCTCTTCTATTGCCACCTCCAGTAAACTCTTCATCTCTGCATTTTTGTGATCATATTTTTGTTGTTGTTGTTGTTGGTTCAGAGAAAAAATGAAAATGAAGGGGCTTGTGATCTCTAAACCCTATAATCTTGAAGATCGTTTCTTTTTGCTTCACTCTCTTGTTTTCTTAACATTTCATTTTTTTCTTATTTTGCTGTGTTAAGATCGTATTGCATGTTACTTTATATCTTAAATATGTTAAAGATACATGCTTTGTAGTAGAGTGATAGGGCTAAAATTGCAAGACCTGTTCAAAAAATTTCTCACCTTCGTTAAGTTAGAGATTGGATATAAGACATGTTGTTTGTTAGGGGATAAAAGGTTTCAGGTGAGTTTTAACCAGTGGATCATTACATAAATGCTCAAATAAGATGATATTCTGATTGTACAAGATAACATACACTGCGTTGATAGTTGAGAAGGGTGTGTGGGTGGGTGGGTGGAAGGATTTAAGAGGAACAGGAAAATGCAACCTGAATTCATCATGTTTTAGTTTATGTTCTGTCAATTGGTTAAACAATATAGTTGTGTGTTCTTGAAGGGATATGCTCTTTCCTATAGGCAGGTAATGATGTTGTAAGACTAATAATTGGAAGTCATTTTCTGTAATGTTTTTGTTAGCATGTTTGCTCTGAACTATCTGTAGTGTACAGAAGCCTACATATTCTGTTTGTTCAGGTCAATTTCGCTTACTACAAAGCTGCTTATTTGGTTTTCCTAAGCCACTATCTAGACAAATAGATTTTGCTTCAGCTAGTTGCATATTCCTTTTTGTTTTGACAGGGTTTTGCGCCAATGGATGCTTCACCTTCCCATCCCAGGTATCAAACTCGTAAGTCTTTGAGGGCAATCCTTGGTCGGTGTGAGTCTATTACTACAACACCAAGGTCTCCATTTCGACATGTTAAGGTACTCCAACGAATCTCTTTTCAAACTACATTGATGAGAGAGTGAAATTTCATGAATAGTAGCACCGAGAAGGTGCAAAATATGTAGAGTCAATAATTTACAGAACACTTCTCAACATAGAGAGGTGATACACAGGTGAACACACCACTATCCAAGGACATATTCAACCAAATTTTCAGTATCTGTAAACAACTAAACATAAAACATAAGATATTTGTGGTGTGTCCACTTGTGTATCACCGTCCAGATTATCCAAAAAAAAAAAAAATACTAGTTGGAATGATCTCCCAAGGTTCTTTTCCTCCTTTTTCAACTTTCTATCCTTGCCAGCTATTTGAAATTGCTTTAACTGATTCTGGCATAGTCCATTTCACTCTTGATATGCTTAGAATTAGAAATTATATTTCCCATACATAATTCTTTCTTCTGCATATTATCATGAGTAAGAAAAGCCTTATGAGAGGTTATCCATTGAAGCATGCTGCCCCGAAAGGTGCTTTGGGTACTGTCATTATTGTTCATTGTTAACAAACAAGAGTTTTTCTTAACTCCGTTTTACCTTCTCCAGATCATCATTCCATTGAGATTTGTTCTTCCTCCATTAATCTGAATAGAGAGTAATAACATGTTTTAACTGAAAAGATGTTATCGTTGCTTGGGACCCTTCTGCAGCAATCATTGTTATTTTCATCCATTATTAGATTTGTTAACTGCACTGTAACTGTACCACTCGTCAGCTTCCTAGTCAAACATATTCCTTCTGAAATTATTATGGAACATAGAGAAATATAGTTCATTTTCTGACATGCCAAAGCTGGAGTATATAACTTTGGCACAACTATAAATTAAGGTTGTTGATGCGTATTTATCTTAAATGTTGGCATAAGCCAGTTACTTCAATGCTGTAAAAGGAAGGGAGTAAATGTACATTTTACAGTCCCCAAAACTAACTTGGAACAACTGCAACTGAAGACCTGTCAAGCATAACCGGATATGTTGACAGAGTAACTTTCGAGATGCATGCACATAAAACATAAATTCTGTTGCTCATTAAGAATATTGCACAGAGATTTCTTCAATAAAGAAAGGGATATATGTATCATAGTAAGAGAGACAAAACAAGAACATACTGAACATTATTGTGACTCATCACTCTAAGAAACAAGAAGGTAAGATTAGCCAAAATCATCCATCAATTGGAGACTATTAACTTACATCCTTTTTATCAAATGGCATCAAAAGTGGTCTCCAGCACTTCAACCAGCAAAAATGTTGCAATGCAGAGATTCCTTAAATTAAGGAAGAGTGTTTATTTTTAATCTTTAGATTGTTGTAACATTTTTCTGCAATTCCTTTTAATGAAGTTGGAATGGCTTATGATGTATACTTTTCATTTATAAACAGTCTAAACTTCGGTTCTTATTCTACAGGCGTCACATCCTTTATGTGCTACTTCTGACTTACCTGCTCATCTTACTACTGGAAGTTGTAAAGCAATAAAAGAAAAGTTTGATGACTTAGTGCCCGCAGAACTTGAACATCAATCTATTCTAACTAACTGTGATGTCTTGGGTGTGGAAAATCAGAAACAAGGGCAACAAGCTCAAACACCACCTTTCCCTGAAGTTGTTGTTGAGAACAATGCAATAGTTAGTAAGGCTGATGTGGTGTTAAATGCTAATGGCACAGAAGCGGAAACCAGAAATAACCAGAGTGGTGTGCTTCCAGCGAAATCCACGAGTCTTAATCTCACAAAGATAGCTGCACTAATGAATGATTATCCTTCTGATGCTGATGAGGTTGAATCAAGACCTAGTCACATGTCAGTCATGGTGGATACGTATAGAGTTAAGGCGGAAGCAGCACCTGTCCTTCAGAAGATCTTCCTTAAGTACGGAGATATTGCAATGAATAGCTCTTTCTCTTCTGTGAGTTTCTCTTCATCACTCTTGGAGTTGGTTTGCGACGTCTACAAGAAATTGGAGGAAACAGATTTCTTAAGTATAACTTCCAAGGAGATTCAGTCCATGCTTGCTGAAGTTAGAGATCTTGAGGATGCCAAAATAGATGTTGGGTGGCTCAGTCAGAGGTTAAATGATGTCTCTCAGGCCAAGCAACTTCTACAGAACAGCTGCAAACTGAAGGAGGTAAAAACCAGGAACCTTGTAGTGATGGAGACAAACAAGAAAGAACTGGAAGGATTGAAGGAAGAGTTGGCTGCTTGCATTGCAACATGCCGCGTTTTGCAACAAAGAATCCACAATAAAGAGGATGAGTTCGGCATTGCACGTTCTGAGAACGAAAAGATCATGCAGAACTTTGCAGCTTTGAAGTCCAAGGTAAACAGTTTCCTGAAGAAGTCCTTGGTCCATGACCTTCTCTGAGCAGCCTGGTGTTTGTAGTTATTCCTTCTTGGATAGGACCATATGAATGATATTTTTCACTAATTTTTAATCCCTAATTAGTTCTGTTATCCCATATTATACAAATTGTTATGTTCAACCATATGAATCATTGGCCCTTAACTGCATATGAGTTGCAGAAGCCCTGAAACAGAATTTGCCACTGCAGAATGGAATGAACAGAGATGCAGAAACTTTATTAGCAGCTTTATTGCAATTCAATTAAGAGAACTAATGTTAATTACTTGAGTTTTTTTCTCCTTATCCTTCTTTAATTCCTGCTAATCATCTAATTGAGTAGGATTACTCAAAAAACCAATAAACGTTGTCAACATTTGAATTATTATTCATGTTCTCTTTTTCCACATTTTTCTTATTATTCCTTTTAACAACTTGTGTCTCCCATAAACCAAGATTCACCAAGTAGTTTATATTTCTCATATGTCAAACTTATTAATACTGCATGCAAATTCATAATAAGGAGCTTAAAGTTGATTAGCCATATAACATACATGTTGAGCATGGCTATAACATTTCATTTAAATTCACATCCTTAACAAACGTTTTATCAAATACAAACACTAAAATAGTAAGACATGTCCTGATTACAAGCAATAGACACGTGTAACAGTTTTCTTGGCTGCAGAATTAACAAACTCTCTTCAGTGCCAGGGTACTCTGCACTCTGCAGCATCATTCTTCCAAGTTCAGAGAAGCTTCTTGTTGAGTTACACAGAGAGAGAGAAAAAAAGATTTCATCTTTGAAGAAAACAGTGTTGAAAGTTAGAAAATGGGAAAGAGAGGGAGAACAAGAAAAGATGAAGCCCCAAAAAATACAAATGTTGAAGATGCCACTGCCACCCCTTCTCAAGAATCTCAACAGCAAGAAGCAGCAGCTTCTCTAAGGAGTGGAAGAGTGTTGAGGATGAAACAAGAACCCAAACTAGAAGATGGTTCAGCTCTATCGCCGCCTCCGGTAAACACTTCAGCTCTACAATTTGGTGATGATATGTTCTCTTTTCTGTTTGGTTCAGAGTAAAATAAAACAAAGGGCTTACTGCACTCACTTTGTGGTGGTTTTTTTTTCCTTTGCTGTGTTAAGGTTGTATTGCATGTTGTATTATCTTAAATGTTTTAGCCTATGTTTAGAGGTGCTGAAGAGGAAAAGTATATTTGATGATTTGTGGTAGGGCTAATGCAAAATGACTTTTGTTTAAAAAAAAATCTGAACTACAAGAGTTAAAGAATGAATATGAGAAATGTTGTTTGGCTAGGGGGTTATTACAAAAATACTTATTAGCTGATTGCACAGATTTATGTATTCACTCTGCTTTGATAGTTGAGAAGGGATAAAGATTTGAGAATTCCAGAACAAAGCAACTTCATGTTCTGTCGATAAATTTAAAAATTAGTTATGTGTTCTTGAAGGGATGTGCTCTTTTCTATTGGCAGGTAATGGTGTTTTAAGATTAATCATTAGAAGCCATTGTCTGTAATGAAGTGGTCTTATTTCGTTTGTCGTTAGCATGTTTGCTGCGAACCCTACAATATGTGTTTGGACTTTTAGAGCTATATTGCTTGCTGTTCATCAAAGTATTATCCTAGCACTTGTATTACATGACATGTTGAAAGGCTTTGTTGGTTTATTTGGTTTTCCTAAGCCCCTACATAGACAAATAGACTTGCATTAACTAGCTGCCTGCCTATTCCTATTTGTTTTGACAGGGTTTTGTGTTACCAGATACTTCACCCAGGTATCAAACTCGAATGTCTTTAAGGGCATTACTTGGTCGGTGTGAGTCTAATACTCTAACACCAACTTCTCCAATTCGACATGTTAAGGTACTCTATTGAATTTTTTTGCAAACTCTCTTGACAATTAGAAGTGAACTTTCATTAATGGTAGCACCAAGAAGGTGCTAAATATGTGATGCCATATGGATAGGCTTTGTCCTATGTTTGTCGGACACAATATCAAAGAAAATAGTTCTTCTCTGCAGTCTATTTAATGAAGTTAGAATGATTTACAATGTAAACTTTTAGTTTATTAACAGCTTCTTTCTTATCCTACAGTCGTCGTATCCTTCATGTGCTATTTGTGACTCTCCTGCTCATCTTACCACTGGAATTTCTGTAGCAACAAAAGAAAAGCTTGATGGCTCCATGCGTACAGAACTTAACCATCACTCTGTTCTAACTAACCATGGAGTCTTGGGTGTGGAAAATCGGAAATCAAGGCAACACACTCAAACAACACCTTCTTTCCCCGAAGTTGTGGATGAGAAAAATACAATACTAAGTAAGGCCGATGTGGTTTTAAATGCTAATGCCACCGAACTGGAAACCAAATGTGACCAGAGTAGTGCACTTTCAACAAAAGGGAGGGTGGTTGAGTCCGCACATGCAGGGCATAAACATCAGTCTGTTCTAACTAACCGTGATGTCTTAGATGTGGAAGATCAGAAACCGGGGCAACACACTCAAACAGCTCCTTCTTTTCCTGATGAAGTTGTGGATGAGAAAAACACAACACTACGGAAGACTGATGTGGTGTCAAATGCTAATGCGACAAAACGGGAAACCAGAAGTGACCCCCTTCCAACAAAATCCATGAGTCTCAACTTCACAAGGGTAGCTGCATTGATGACTGACTATTCTTCTTATGCTGATAAGGTTGAATCAAAACCTGGTCACCCATCAATCATGGTGGATGGGTACAGAGTTAAGGAGGAAGCAGCACCTATCCTCCAGAAGATCTTCCTTAAGCACGGAGATATTGCAATGAATAGCTCTTTATCTCCAGTGACGTTTTCTTCATCACTCCTGGAGTTTGTTTGCAACATATATAAAAAATTGGAGGCAACAGATTTCCTAAGTATAACCTCCGCAGAGCTCCAATCTATGATTGCTGAAGTTAAGGATCTTGAGTCTGTCAACGTAGACGTTGGGTGGCTCCATCGAAGACTGAATGATATCTCTCAGGCCAAGCAACTTGTCCAGGACAATTGCATATTGAATGAGGCAAAAACCAGGTACCTTGTAGTAATGGAGAGGAACAAGAAAGAACTGGAAGGATTGAAGGAAGAGTTGGCCACTTTGCAAGAAAGAATCCACAAAAAAGAGGTTGAGCTTGGCATTGCTCATTATGAAAATGAAAATATCATGCAGCGTTTTGCAAATTCGAAGGCCAAGTTGAACAGTTACCTCAAGAAGTCCTTAGTCCATGACCTTCTTTGAGCATACTTGTAATCCCTTTTGCTTGTACTTTGAAGTTCTATTCTCCTTTACATAAGTAACTGTTTTCAATTTATGAGTCATTTGGCTCCAACTGCATATGAAACAACTCTCTTAGAAGTTCTATTATCCTTCTTTATTACCTACTAATTGCTATCACCTAATGTCTACTTTTTATACAATATCATTTCTTCATAAGCACTGCTTAATTTGAGCAAGATGCAAGAATATTCATGTTTCTATAAGTTACGCCTCAAACTCAAACAAGTTAAAAGATCAATTACACAAATTTTGTCTTTTCTATTTACGCTTAAATCATGTCATCACGTATCAAATAAATAAATCATACGTAGAACCTCAGCTTTTTCTTTCTTCTTTATTTTTGGGAAAAGCTACATAAATGGGCCATAAAACTCAAAATAATGGATTACATGTTCATACCCCACCAAAGACAAAGTAATTAATGAAACACTAATTCTCTCAAATAAATATTATAGCTCGTATCCTCATTCATTCGTGCTAATAATTTCGCTTAACTGATATTAAATCAGAATATATATATATATATATATATATATATATCTTGTATTGTATTGGTATCTCTTGTTTAGAAATTACTCATTAGTCAATGATACTATAAGAGTATATGTATATCGTTGTGGTATTATTAAGGTTTACCACTGTATATAGTATGAATTAAGCAAATGTGTACTGATTTAATATCAGCTAAGCGAAATTAATTGGGGTATATAATACAGTTATTTAGTAGGGTATAAATTTAAACGGGTATATGTTTGTAGTTATTTTGCTTTTTTTTGGGTATTTGTTTAGTTTCCTTTTCTTTCAGTTGATAATTACTCCAAAATATCATAGAATAGGGGTAATTTTGTGTATTTTTTCCTTTTTAAACTTTTAAGGACAGGGAGGCCCAATGGGCCCATCTGGTGTCAGGTCCAGCTAGACCACAAAGTCGGCCCATTTGGATAATTATCTTAGGACAAGTTTAACCTTGTCCACAACTAACATATCTTCTTTTCTCTACATTGAATTGACTATTCATTTTGCAATTTAGAGTTTAGTTTGAAGAATCTTGTTTAGCCTCTAGGAAACACTAAGGTGGCCCATTTGAGTCATTTGTGGCCATACTGGGCCTTGGCCCATTTTACTTAGGCCCACCAATTCTTTCTGCTCTCCAACCCTAAGCCCAATTTGGCTGCTAGTCTAGTTAAATTGTTTCTTAAGCGAAATTGACATAAATAGCCTCTCCGCCATAGAAATAGTCGATAATATCTTTGTGATTAACGTATATAAAAAAAAATTGTCAAGTGAATAAATGTATAATTTTAAGTAAACCACCAATGCTAATGTACTTGTTGAGAATAGTTTTTATATTTACTTTCTAGTTTTAATTTGTTTGCTTTCGACGATAGATCGGTCGGTCAAAATAATTTCTATTTTTTCTGGAGTGTTCCTTGTTATTATTAGTCACAAATTTTTGAACGGACAATATGCATTATAATAAATCTGCTTGACGTACAAATTACTATTATATGTGCATTTTTACGTACCAATAAACTTGCTCATCATGAGTCTTCTACAAACCCATATTAATAATTCACATATGGACAATGTTGCATTGTATTCAGTGAAAATGAAATGTTTCTCATTTATTTACTTTTTAATTTTTCTACCTAGCTAGAAGATTCATGAATGAAATAAATAAATATTTTTAGCCCAAAGTTTAATTCTGTGCCACAAAGTTACACTTGTAAATAAATGGTAGAGCGGAACACACGGAAACCATCAGTAACTTGTTTGATTTTGAATGCATGGCAATTGGCAAATTACGTGGACCTACTACTACAATTTACTTATTCTCGCCGTTTCAATTTATTTATATGACAGGGGTGACTCGATAGTGTTAAAGAAAAAAAGATATGTGTCTTAGGCCCTTAAATTTAAGGGGTTTTATTTTTAATAATAATTGGTTATAAGTTGTTATATTTTAATAAATATTGAATATTATTCGTAGAAAAAGTAAACATTTCATGAAAAATTAAAAGATTATTAGAAGAAATTTGACATATTTAGAATACTATATCTCATGAAAAATAATTTCAAATAAGAATGGCTATATAATCAATTGAAAACCAGAAGAAATCAGTTATATAAAAGTTATTTACAGTTCAAGTTTAAGGCCCCGTTTGATTTTTGCTTTAGGCCACTAGTATGCTTGAGCAGCTCCTGATTCCTATTTCGATGGGAGAATATTTTCTTTTGTCAAATTATTTTGATATTTTTTGAATTGTTAAATGTGAATTTTAGTACTTTTGAAAAAGGTTATTAAACAATATTAAGTGTGTAAAAATACTACTCCCTTCGTTCGAAATTGTTTGTCATGTTGCGCTTATCAAAAGTTAATTTGACTAATTTTCCAAGATAAATTAGATCACATTAATTCGATATTTTAAACCAAAAAAAATTAGATATTATAAAACTAAATGAAAAGTAATATAAATTACAATTTTTTACATATTAATATGATGAAAAAATACATCTTAAAATATTAGTCAAAGATTTTTATAATTTAACTCTAAAAATAAAAACTATGACAAATAATTTCAGAAGGAGCGAGTAACTCTTTATGTTGGTGATCTTCTTACTATGCGTGAGACAATGCCTTTATTATAAATACATAGTTTTATCATCTTCTCTATTTAAATTGGGATTGAATTCTAAGTTATGTTAATATAAATATCATCTTAATTTTTTTGTACGTTTAAACATAGTTTTAAAATATATAAAGATTAATGTATGTCAGACTACACATTAAACATAAGTTAGTTTGACCATCTATATTTTGAATCAAGTCAAACAAATTAAAAATAGATCAATAAAGTAATTTTTTAAGCTCTCTTAAGATTTTTTACACGCTTCAACTATCCTAAGTAAAACGTCCACGGTAATTAACCCCATACTTGTACGAATAACCATTGCACCCATGGACCTTATTAATTTCATATGACAATATAATAATAGACTATATATTACTCAAAATAAAGTGTGAGATGAAATTGGAAAGAGAGAGGTAGGTAGCTAGCTGTATATTACCCAATATGAGTCTAGTTAAGGCTGTGTTTTTGCTATTTTATGTTTCATTTGAGTGGGGAAATAGTTTTATTTATGAGTGTAACAAGGGCACATAAGATAGATTAGTGGGTACGTTTGTCTAAAGTAGTAATAAATTGGGGACAAACCTCTTTATCACGTGTGGGGTGTCATCTTTGTAGTTTCATTTCCTTGTCTAATTCTAAGGAAACATATGCTCGGTTGGAGAGTAACATATATTATCCTAAGGACAATGCAACTAAGTCTTATTGTTTTGTTCATCGATCCATACATAATAATTTCTTCCTTATCGATAAAAATGATTTATAGATGAATCAGAGTATATTGGTAATTGTCAAAAATGATTGTGTGTAGACATTAAAATTTTGTGAGATGCGTTTAATTCGAGTTAGGACTCTATAAATTGTGTTCAACTCAAGATCCCGATTCATGGATCTCTCGGTTCGAGAAATCAAAATAAGAGGCTCGAACCATTTCTTCTGACTCTTTTTCAAATTCGATAAATATTGGTTGATCGTATATTTCATTATAGTTCTATGATTCAGAGTATCCTTTCCTATTTGATCCCTTTGAATTCCATATTCGAAGTTGCGATCGGATCTATTCATTAAAAAGAATCGATTCAATACATTTCTTATGTACCCATAGGTACTATATTGGATTTGAATCAGATTTCGGATCAATCTATATTGAGTGACTGACTCCATTACGTTGTTGCTATTCTTAGAGGCTACTCAACTCTAAACCCTAGTTTATTCCTATATAAAGTGTACTAAATTCCCTTAGAAGACATCTCGAAAATTTCATAAAGAGATCAAGATTTCGAATACTCCACAAATTGATAGTTTGTTCATAAAAAGAGGTCATAATTTAAATCATCATAGTTCGAGAAATATGTTACTAATGGTCCTCGAATCATGAATAAATCTTAAGAGAGTAGAATCAAGGGATTAACACAATTGTACCCGCAATCTATCTAGATTAATAAAATTATGTTTCTTTTGATTTTATTTGTGTGATTTATCTATATGTTTAAAATTTGTTGCAAACAATGTGAATTAAGTAAAATTTGTTAGTTAATATTACATGATATTGTAGTTGAATAATAATCGGTCGTATCAATTATTATAAGATACGTGCACATGCAAGAGAATGTCTACTTAATTAAAATGTTGAATTTATATATTTGATAGAAGACCAACTATAATTTGTAAATAATTGACTAGACAATAGTTATATTTATGTATTAATTTCTAATCTAAGGGATTCAAAGTAAGATTTCTATGTCCCAATATTGCAAAATATTCTCATCGTGGTATCTTCTTGTTATAATGTAGTATAAACTGATTGTCTATAATTGGAGAAATTATATTCCTTTAATAACATGCTACTTATTATATGTGTAAATAATAATATTATCTCGCAGAAATTTGCCTTCTCTGCAAGAATCAAATATCCATATACCCTATTATAATTGGATATGTTCCTCAAAAAATTAATTGTCCGTGTATTAGAAAATTATAACGGAGACAAAAAAATAAATAAATTATGGTATTCTTTTTCGTAAACTATCATTTTTTTTCAAGAGAAATATGTGTATTCATTGGTTTCGAAATTGTCAATCCTAATTCAAATACATGACTATATATGTAAAATTTTTGAAATAAACATAACACTTAATTTAACTTAAATTTAACTGTATTAGTTTTGACAAAAGGTCACATTTGCCCCTTAACTAGTGAAATAGAATAATTATGCCCTCCTGTTTGATTTTAGTCCCAAATAGGCTCTTGTCCAATTAAAAGATTTGTTTAGCTAGAGACGAAATCATAATTTAAAGTACTTATGAATATGAAATTCTAGTTTTTTTTCAAGTTATTGACTTCAAAATTTATAATTTGTACGAATAAATTTCTTAAAATTAATGAGAGAGAAGGTACATAGGATCAAAGGTAAAGCAGTGCTTTCTTGCCAGAGTTTTAGGTGGCAAGAGACTTGGATTCAACTATAAAGAGAACCAGGAACGTAGGGCTTTTCCCCCTTCCGCCCGACTTCTTGTTCTTAAAAACGCTGGTTATAAGAATGAGTCATTGCCCTTCTCCTACCCTGACTGTCCAACCTGATAGCGGACAGTTATTGCGTTCCACTTATTAAACAAGATTCTATTGTCAATCACGTAAATAGCTTTTAAACCAAACTTGATTCGGCCAATCCATAAGTTACCCAATATAAACCCGTATATAAAATCTGAAGAGATTAATATATACACATACCTTATCCGTACTTGCAAAAATTTTATCCCAACTCGAAATAATTACATGTATATATGTACCTTTATTTGCACGCGTATATTAATGTGTCTACAAACATATTGGGAACACTTCATCACATGGCATGTCTTTTGTTAACCATATCAAACGGTCACAAGTAAATCTCCACAAATTATTAATGTTTTAAATTACATACCTAACATATATATTTTCCCTACCTTTGTATCTCATGTGACCGACCATTAAGTTTAGTTTACCTGCCATTGTCTTCTCAATTATTTATTTCCTATATATACTCATAAACACACACACTCATTTTTTCCATCAAAACAACAATATATTAATTTTCCAGTCTTCAAAACATAATACGAAATGGCAACAGAATTGGAAATTACTGAGCTAAGATTGGGACTTCCAGGAGGAATATTGGAGAAAAATGAAAAGAAAAGGGTTTATTCGGAAATTACTACTAGTGATCGAAACAGCAGCAGCAGCAACAACAACAACAACGTTGAGGCTAATAATTACAAGTGTCAATACAAGAACGAAGTTGTTGGTTGGCCTCCTGTGTGTGCTTACCGGAAAAAGAACAGTTTTAACGGACGTGAAGCTGAATCCAATAATAAAATGTACGTCAAAGTTAGCATGGATGGAGCACCGTTTTTGAGGAAAGTTGATTTGAGTACTCATAAGGGTTATGATCAACTTGTTATGGCTCTTGAAAAACTCTTTGATTGCTATGGAATTGGTTAGTATTTCAGTTTTCTATATTAACATGCATTTATTTAGGCAAAGTGAAATTATTATTATTGAAATGTACGGTTACTGTACTATACTAATAAACATAAATCGAGCATCTTTTTCATAAATATAAGCAATTTAATTGCTAGTGTTATATATGTTAAATTTGTATTTAAATGTGTCAACAGGAGAAGCATTGGAGGATGCAGATAAGTCAGAGTTCGTTCCAATCTATGAAGACAAAGATGGAGATTGGATGCTTGTCGGCGATGTTCCATGGATGTAAGTATTTCACTTTCTCTTTATGTTCTATTCGAGACGACAGATTCAGAATTTTTATTAATTTAGGAACATATTTAATATAATACTTGAGATTTGAATTTTGAAATTGTCGACTGAATTTTAAATTCAGTCGACCTCTAATCTTATGTTAAAAAAAGTTCAAATTTTATATATTAGTAATTTTTTAACGCGATCTGCCCCTCGGGCACCTTATCCCTAATTGAATCTTCTTTAATTAATTGTAAAACTAAACTAATTAATGTGTTAAAAGGGGTGTAAAATTTAGCTTATAGTACATAAATTGACCAATTTAGTCAAATTTAGGTGATTTAAACTAGCATATATTCACTGATGGATCAATTTTGTCCTTTTTAAGGCATAGATCAAAACATCATTATGCCGATAAATTAGAACATTGAAACCCGATTAAATAGGGATTCGTGCCAGGAAGGTTAAAACTTCCTAACAAAGGCAGCTTTATACCCAAGACAACTAAAATCTGAAACCTCTTGGTTAAGAATAAATTACTACCTACCACACTATAACAACCTTGATCGGTTACTCATCAAACATTTTGTAGTGTTAGAAAAAATCAAAAGAAGTCGTATTAATTGGAATTTGATTTAGCAGAATGTTCAGTGAATCATGCAAAAGGCTAAGGATCATGAAGAGATCAGAGGCAAAAGTGATAGGGCTTGGAGCAAGAGACTTTCTCAAGGGAATGTCTCAAGAGAAATAGAGTGGATGATTCAAGCTATATTTTTACATTAATATATAATTGTAATTGTAATCTTAGGTGTGATAAGACACCCTAGACTTAAAATCAATTTCTGATTTGATTTCCTCTTAATTAGCTTAATTATTGTAGTAATCAGTACCTTATTTGCTCTTAAATGACAATTTTCGTATGTATAATAAGGCTATATGTGTAACCAACATGTTGTGCTGAAATTGTGGCTACCATCTAACTTTCCCTTTGTTTCAATTTCATATCAATTGTCCACGTTACTAAAAAGTTCTTTTTTTACATTATTTGTATTTCTATTTTCCTTATCTTTTTTAAAAAAATTTATTTTTTCTAGCTAGTTTTTTCCTTATCTGTTCACCATGTTGAAGTTGGATTTATCAAATATCTATAACTCGATTAAGGTGAACAATATAATATCGAGTAGACAATTAGCATACACTAATTAGCTATACATATTCATGCATACTTATGTAAAAATGGAAAGATTCCTGTATCACTCCAACACACTTATAAGTCCAATGTATTTTTTTCTTGGATCATTAAATACTGATGAACCTTAATTTTTATTTTTATTGGGGGGATAATAAAGCAGTGATATACCATATGAATATACTTTTGTTTCACTACATATCACAGTATTCAGTGTGGAAATACATGCACACGGACTAATTCTTACTTCCACCGAAATTAATATCCAAAAAAAAAAAATTAATTATCAATCAAATCATGTGTTGCGAATATGTAATTATTCTAAAAAAAACTTCATAAGAATTAACCATAGAGATCACCTATGAATCACGTAAAAGGTAGATATTCATTTATTTTTAGAGAAACATTTCAAATTTGAGTTATGAAACTGAAATCATTTTTATATAAATTATATAATAAAAGATATTTTACCTATATGAATCTGAATTAATTGAGCTCCAAAAATAAATAGGAACACTATATTTTATAAAGTCCAAAGAGTGTATTAATTTGGTAGATACAGAATCTTCAACCGATACATAATTTATTTTTATATTAATATATCAACTAACTAAACTGAAATATTGGCCCATAATCAGCATGTAGAGCTACGTCCGACAAAAGGCATTGTTTTCGTTGATGTTCGGGAATAACATCTTTTAAATAATCCAATATCACATTATTATTAAATTCATTACATTTTTATGTGTTAAAAATCTACACGTAAATATAGTAACATATATATATAAAAAAGTAAAATAATATAGCATTTAAGGATTATACTTAATGTTTTTATCTAGATATAATTAATTTTTCCTCCTAAAAAATATGTGGCTCCAGTTGCATAGCCATTCTGTTGGACGCCCTTCTTCAAAAATTATATTGTATATATAAGTAAAGTAATAAATAAAGTGGCTAAATATTTTATTTTGAATATCCTTAAAATAACAATATAATGCAGCATAGTGTATTGAGTCGCGTACTTAAAATACCCATGTATTTAAATTTTACTGTTAACAACTTCTCTTTTTACTTTTTTAAAAGTATGTTCACTTTTAACACTTAAACACCCTTCGTGAAATTTATCTCTCTGAAGTTTATTACAGATAGTTGGTAAGTAAATACAATAATTTTTTTTTACCATGAGATTCGATCTATAATATGTTCAAAATAAATGAGAAGCGTGGGAATATGTCGGATTTTGAGAAGTACATATACCTTCTCAGATATTATTATTTATTAATTGACAAATGACCACCAGACAATTCACTTATTACACATTTTATATCTACGCAAAACGTATACATCAATTGTTTTCATGTTTACTTTTTCAGCATCAAATCATTTCAATACTTTACCTTTAATTTTCTTTTACGTTTTTCAATTATATTCTCCTTCACCAACTTCATTGGTCCATAAAAATACTTCCTGCGTTTAATCTGGTCTAATAATAATTGTTTATTATATTATTTTAAATTTTTAATAATATTTGTCTATTTTATAAAATTTAATGAATAATTCATAGTTAGTTTTTAGTTTATTCTTATTATTAGTTATAATAATTTATGCATTACACTTTTTCGAATATTGTATTTATTGATTTGTTATATCATTTAAATTTTTTTAATTATATTATCTTTTAAAAATTACGATGAGAGAGAATTAAAAATAATTGAGAGTGTAGTTGTGTTATTATCTCTTCAATTTATTAAAATACCAAAAATAATTAAAAAATAATTTTTAACAAAAATACTTGAATAGTATTGTCCTATTTGAGCAATACCCTCTTAAAACGAAAAAGATAATTAAATTGAACTCGTCCTTAATTGTGAGTTTGTGACTCAACTAATGTAGCATTAGAGGCAAAGCTAAGTAGGGCTTAGAAGTTCATATGAAAATTACTATTGAAGATGTAGCTTATTTGTGTGTATTTGTTTGAAATAATTTTTAAAGTGACAAAAAAATAGATTACAATCACAAATAAAATATAAAGAAACATAATTTTATTATTAAAACTTTGAGTACAAACACAACAAAATAAGTGTAAATTACATGGCGATTTTTCTTGAGGTTATATGAAAATTTCAAGAAACTTGTTTTCCAGCATATTTTCATACTAATTTCTAGGAAAATCTCCATGTAATTCACCATTTTCTTGTAGTGAAATATGTTGATCCCTTGATCCTTCTCTCTTAAGATTTATCCATGATTCGAGGGTCATTAGTGGTGTATTTTTCCGAATTAGATGATTTGGACTTATCTTCACAATTCGAGGGCCGGTAGTAACATATTTCTCGAATTAAGATGATTTGAATTTATAAATATTCCATGAATTTGCAAAATATTAGTTTTTTCAAGAGAATATAATATCCATTAATACAGGCATGAACTATTTCTAATATTGAACACACCTTGTAGAGTCTCAACTCAAATTAAACACGTCTGGTAGAGATCTTACAAAATTTCAATTTCTATAATATCATTTCATATTTTAAAAACTCTCTTAATGAAAATTATGAATCCATCATCAGTGTGCATACATAACACATGGTCTTTAGTTAGGAAAGAGTATAGTCTCTCCTAGTTGAAAATTCAAAAGTCATCTATTTATCAAGATAATTGGATGTAGCTCAACCATCCACATCCTATATTTATCTATATGCATGAGTGATGACCAAAATGAACTTCACTACAAAAGTACTTAAAGGTAGGTTTATTCATGTACGTTTCAAAAGTTGATCTGACATTACTATGAAAGGTCAATTTATACTTTTAAATTTCTTTCAAAGAAAAGGATAGTACAATCAAATTCCAATGCATGCTATGTTCAATCACTTGTAGTAAAATAAACCTTTAAAGTTGAAACACGACAAACAATTATCCATCAATAATGTCCTTTCCTAACACAACGTTTTCATAGTTTTTTTTTTTAATTGAAAATTTATACACTTAATTGTGGAGACAATAAAATTATTTGATCGCAACATATCTTATCATGTTTAACAAAATTAAGCTAATGATTATTGGGGTCATGATACATATATGCATTTCATGTGGATGCATGTGAGTTTTCACGGTAATGGATAGTACTATACAAGTACTTAGTTTTTACATGCATGTAAATTCAAGGCAAAAATTTCTAGTATTGGTGAAAAAATTGTCCAAAAGATTTGTTTTTGAAGTCACTTTATAAGGAAAAAAAGTTCATGGCTTGATAGTAGTTATAGAAGAAAGAAAAAAAAAATCTCGCGTTTTATGTCTAATGAGAGAAGTAGTCTCTTTATATGGTAAGTGTAAGCTGGGAGTTTAGAAATGGAAAACATCTCATGTTGGTGTTAATGTTATTTCTTCTATGAGGAAAAGACATTTGAGCTGAGACCTCTATTAGAAATGTGTAAATTATACATTCTTCAGAACTGACTTATTTAATTAGTAATATTTCACTAAATATATTGTCGTTGTTATTTTTGTGGTTGTTTTCTACCATTTTGTTACAACGAATTGAATATATGCCTAATTAAATAATTTTTGGTAAAATATATAGTTAAGTTGTCTCCCCTTTTTCATTTTTCTTGAGATAAATAAATAAAAATAATTCACCACAACGTCTGAAGCCCCTATAGCTCAGTGGTAGAGCGCCAGTCTTGTAAACTGGAGGTCTGTAGTTCGATCCTGCATGGGGGCAATTCAATTTTTTTTTGTTTTTTTTTTTAAAGTTATCGTTCCTTATATTAATTTAGAATATTTAAGATACATTTAATATATTTCATTTATATATTTTTTGCGAAGTTAAAGATATATATTGAGTTCAAATGATAGTGTGTATTTATAACGTAGATCAATTAAGATATAACTATATTTTAAATGAAATGTGAGTATCGATAAGGGTCGATCCTTACTTATTTTGGGGTAAGATATACTAGTAACTATTTTCGTAGTAATAAAGATTTTTTTACAAGTCTGATATTTTTGAAATTTTTGTTTTAAATGCTTTTTATTAAGTAAAATAATTGACAAATTTAAAGCCATAATATATGTCATCTGTTAATGGCATAATACTCATTGATGAGATACATAATGAAGTTGATAATAAATTGAAGGTTTGACGATCTGAAAATTCAAGTTGAACAAGTTTAAGACATCAATATTTGGAAAATAAGTTCATTAATATAACTCACGAGACATATATAAAAGTGCAGGTTAATATATAAGTCATCTAAAAGAAAGCAAGTTTCAAGTCTTTTGAATTAATAATTAACTCATATTTGGATATTGACATAAATGATATAACACATGATTCTACTTGAAATTGTGTATAAAAACTAATAAATTAAAATAAAAAAAAGATAAATAAATTAAAATTAAGAAATAATCAAAACTTAATTAAATAAAGTCTGGAGTTAAAGAAGAAAGTGAATTGGGGAAAAGTCGTTAAAATGATTGGAAGATCTAAACATGATGTGTGATTATAGTTTGTGTGACGGCTACGTCAAAGCATGCCACGTGTCAGTAATAAATAATCGTACGGTCGTGATGATAAGGCGACAAAGAAACAGAGTCACATGCTGGGTCAGCATGTAGCCAATCAAAATTCGAACATGCCTTCTTTAAGGGTTGACTTGTCCCACTAATAACCCAACATGTGGGCCCCATCTCTCTTCCCTACTCACACGGGTGTCCCTTTTTGGTGCATAAGAATAGGTGATAAAAATAAAATTTATTCCCGTTTATATCAATTTAATAAATACATGATAAATATATTTTATTTTACTAAGTTTTAATGAATTAATATTTATTTTATTAAACTATATAATTATGAAAATTATATTTGTTTACTATAAATACTTTTAACGGAGAAATATTTCAAAATTGTATGATACATGTAATTTTTAAAGTCCAATTCTAACAGCAAAACGAAAAGATAACGTTATAAAGTTATCTTAGAATTAAAGATAACGCGTATATATATAATATTTCGATGCAAAGCATTAAACTTAAAGTTTTTTCTTGATAATATGCATGCATATGCAATATGGATTTTAGAGACTATCAATTTTAATTGAATAATCTACTTAACAAGCACGTGCATATTTATGTATGGGCAGACGTGTCATGACAATTGAGACTTTATGTTTAATACGTATCTAATTCTCTATTGAGTGTTTTATGTACAAAATTTCTACATTACTATTATTAGACCTATAAAAGGTGTCAAATTTCTGATGTGCAACACTTTTCAGCCTACCACAATTCCCCAGAGTTAGAAAATAAACAAAATGACACTCCACTCTTTTGGCTGTTATCTGAATGGTACAACGAATGAGATTGTTCCTCTTATAATCAAGAGTCTTGATTTTGAACTCTGAATATAAATAATTTTTAATAAAAAATATTAACTTTTTTATGGATTTTACCTAGCGTGAATTTGAAATAATTATAAATTTCGAGAGTGCGGAAGAAAAGAAAAAAAAACTCCATCTCTTTGCATCATTCACTCCCTTATTAACGTGTAGAAATCTGTACCGTTCATCTGTAGACACGCGTCACGATTAGAATGGCTAACATGAAAGCCTCCGTCCACCTACCCGAGAGCATATATAGTGGCCTAACCGCATTTTTTCAAAGCACCAAAAGATATTTCATTTCACCAAACTATCTAAAAAGGGGGAAAATGTCATCGGAGACAGCCAAATCAGCGAACGGTTTGACGGAAACAAATAATTCCGGCCTTAATTTCAATGAAACTGAGCTAACTCTCGGCTTACCCGGCGAATCGCGGAAGCAAATCTCCGGTGCAAAACGTGGAAATTCCGACGGTATGGAATTAAGCCTAGGAAGCTCAACTTCCGGTGAACGCCGCCGTGATATCTGCGAAGTTAATCACTCGAAAAACGAAATCTCTACCGGAAACAAACCTCCAGCAAAGTAAGTCATGTAGACACGTAATTTTTTACTCTCCCGAATTTATGCACAATTTTAATTGTGAATTATGATATTAGGGCACAAGTAATTGGATGGCCGCCGGTGAGATCATACAGAAAAAACGTGATAGAAAAGTGCAAATACGTGAAGGTAGCAGTTGACGGAGCTCCTTACTTGAGAAAAGTAGATCTGGAGATGTACGACAGTTACCAGAAGTTGTTGAATGCTTTAGAAAACATGTTTACTTGCCTAACAATCTGTAAGTATACTTTAACGTTTCATTTTTCTTTTTGCTCCTTTAATCAATTCCATCATATAATATAGATTTCGTCGATTTGTATGAACCGATTGATAATAATTCAGGTAATTCTCAAAGTGAAAGCAAGCTTATGGACCTTACAAATGGTGTAGAATATGTACCTACTTATGAAGATAAAGATGGAGACTGGATGCTTGTAGGAGATGTTCCATGGAAGTATGTTTTTCTCTTCTTATTTTAATTTTGTTCGTAATGATTTAGGGAATGAGATTACAAGGTGGAGAATCAAACTCTTTATTGACCAGATAGCAGTTTTGATAGTCAACTAACTCAGCTGCTAAGATGTTTTAATTTTAATTTCCTAATTTATATGATTTTTTATTTTTTGCTGTACAGAATGTTTGTTGATACGTGTAAGAGAATTAGATTGATGAAGAGCACGGAGGCTATAGGATTAGGTAATTAATCTAATTAACTTCTTTCTTATTACATTATAATTATTGTTAAATATTAACTTCTTTTGTTAATTGTTTGTGTAGCTCCAAGAACACCTGGGAGATCGTCGAGTTGAAGCTAAATAAAGAAGCTTAATAACTGCATGTACAGATACCAACTGGCTTGAGTGAATAAGTTTTTTTATTTTTACCTTTTGCGTTCTTTAATTATAGGATAAGTAATATATAATTAGGCAATTACTTAGAAGTGTATTTTGTGCTACGATGCTTCCCGTGTGAGTGAAGACGATTGATTTTATTAATACTGTATTTGTATTTTTATTTGTATGTTTTTGTCGTTACGATTGTAGATCTCAATATGAATAAAGCCACTTGGGGAAAAAAAATCAAATCCTTTTGTACGATTTGTGAAAGGAGGGTGAAAATGATGAAGTTTAATTTACAAATCGTTATCCTAAGATAGTAGTTTGAATAATTTTGTGGTATGTATGTTCAAACTCAATTGACAATTATGACAATACAATATGGAAATGAATCAATTGATGATTATGAAAAAGACAACATGGAAATGGATCACATATTGAGAAACATCATATACTAATACATGATTTGCGTGATATTTTTTATCAACATTAGTTTGAAAAGCTTGGATCTTTTCTTTCAATTAAACTTCAAATATATATATTTTTTTTAACTAATTAATACTAAGGATAAGGTGAGTAAAATTAAATTGGAAAAAAACCCTATTGTCGTTAACTTGAGATGATAATTTGGGAAGGATATGGTAATTTTGGTTTCATTCTATTCCGTTTCTTCAATCAAGAAAAACTCACGTACAGGGCTAGTGCCATCACATAGCTGAGTCTTCCCTTTGTGCTTATCGTCCACTCCTTCAAGTCGAGTGCCTCTCTTTTTCCTAGTACGGCTAGGGGTCACATAGTTGATAATTATTGGACAATATTTTGTGAGCATCGGGTTGTGTTTTAATATAAATGGAGCGATAACATAAATAGGTAGCACTAACAATAAATTGTTTAGGTATAAAATTTACAAATAATAATTATAAGTTAATTGTGTTTTTGCCCATTAATGATTAGTAAATCGAACTCCTTTTTATCAGATTTGTCCACTAATGCTCTACAGAGATTTTAATATACATATTGTCTCGTTAAATTTTGGAAGTCACTCATTGCTCTACAAATTTTGTATATTTACAATTAATCTTATATTGTGCCACCAAAATTTTGAAACAAATTAAATAATATTGATTTCTTATATATTCAAAGGAAACTATTGGTGCAAATTAATGATACTTTAATTGAATTGAATTCTATCTAATGATTATAAGGGGTTCTGACAATATGTAATATAACTCAAGTATTATATGCTCAAATTAGTTGAGAGCAAAGCACATAAAGCTATGTGTTTTTTTAAAAAAATAAAGTTATAAAAGTGTGTCCTCTGACCTCTCTAACAACTTAAGTTTTTAGATGAGATAGTCACAAATTTCAACATCATATCAGAAAGAATAATCATATACAGCATTCAGAATATAATTTGACAAAAATATTATCAAAAGCTCATTTCCTTTTTATTCAAAACTACAATTGCAGTAAGTAAATGAATGAAGATGTGTTAGTTGGGTTGCATTTTTTTACTATATGGGCTTGCTATCTATTTGGGCTACTAGTTACAACATTGAAGGGAATAACTGGTGGGCTAAAATGGCCCATCCATACTCTCCTTTAAAAAATAGAAACAGTATCATGTATACTCTAATTCCAAGATCCTAGAGGTATACATATTGTACTTAATAGTTTCAAACAAAGAACTAGCAAATCAAAAATTTAATTCGTCAAATTTAAATTCTGAATTTTCTAGACCGCAAGTAAATAATCCTTTAGGGTCGTCAAGGTCATTGTCTTTCATGAAGTCCACCATCTAACTAGCAAATATCGATAAAGATATTCAAGATAACAATTTTTGAAGAGTAAAAAGAAAAAGGGAGAACATCAAGAAAACAATTTTCTTCCCATTTTCAATCGATCACCCTATTCACTCAAAATGTCCAACGAAGCTCCAAAAATTGAAACCTCTAAAAATTTACTCCTATTTAAAGTAATTTGTTTCTTGGTTGCTTCTTGTTATTGATTTGTTTTAAGTTTAATGGGCTGTGAAGAAAATGATATGGTGGGATGTGAAGAGGAAGAGATGTGAGGGTGGGTGTAATATATATTTTGATTTTTTGGATTAATTACCTGAATATACAACTTAAGTTTACATATTCTCCATATTTCCCTTATTTCTTTGAAAAATACTAAAATCCCTATTTTTTAATAAGTCTAATTTAACAGATACATTATTAAATTAGAATCCTAATAAATCCTAACCAATTAAATCTTATCCCTAATTTTACTCTTTATTTTCCCCAAATAAAGAACCCATTTACACCACTCCCAAAATTAATGCGTCAATTTCTCAACGGTTCATCTTCTCAATTTTGAAAATCAAAATTTGTGCTCTCCATCCGTCAACCTTCATCTAATCTGTCCGCCATTTTTGTCTACTTTGTCAGCCTTTGAAAATCAAAATTGTGCTCTCCGTCCGTCCGTCTTCGTCTAATCTGTCCGCCATTTTTGTCTACTCTGTCCGCCTTAAAAAATAAAATCGCCAATTTCGTGTACTCTGTCCGCCATTTTCGTCCAATATTCTTGAAAGGTATTGTGTTCTTCTTCGATTCTCTCTTTTCATTCTTCTATTTTTCTAATATTTCATGGATCATCTGTCATTTAGTATTGAGATTACTCAAATAATCACTTCAAACTCTAAACAAATCTATATTTTTGAAGATCCGAAATTGGTTGAAAACAAGTCTAAGAGCTTGCATAATTGGTTTGCATTGTGTTGTTACAATTATGTATCAAGCACAATTTATGTTTCATGTATCATGTTAAAGTTTGTCGTTTATATAAAGTATCAAGTAGACAGACTTATAACTATAGTTACACGTATGTATCAAGTACAACTTTGCATTTTTTGTATCATGTTAGTATCAAGTAGACAGACTTATAACTGTAGTTACACTTATGTATCAAGTACAACTTTGCATTTTTTGTATCATGTTAGGCTATAAAGTGTCTGTTAAGTATCATTTTGACTGACGTATGATATGTTGTTAGAATTATGTATCAAGTTTATTTTTGCATTTTATGTATCATATTAACAACTTTGCATTTTTTGTATCATGTTAGTATCAAGTAGACAAACTTATAATTGTAGTTACCTTTATGTATCAAGTACAACTTTGCATTTTTTGTATCATGTTAGGCTATAAAGTGTCTGTTAAGTATCATTTTGACTGACTTATGATATGTTGTTAGAACAGATTGGGCAGCATTAGATGCATATAAAGACAAGAAAACTGGAGAACTTTTGGGTCCACAACATTCGTTTAATGTGGAGTTTGCTCAAGACAACATGCAACAAATAAGTGATAGCCTGTGAGTATTGTTTATTATTTTATTTTATTTTTTGTATCTATTCATCCTTATAATTATTCTTATTGTTTTTGTAGTGATTGCGGACTATTCGTAGTTGTATATGCAGAATTCTGAGTGACAAAATCAACATGTCATGTAATAGTTTTAAGAGTAGCTATCTTCGCAAAAGATATGCGATTCTTTTATTGAAGTATGGTCTCGACAAGATGAATGCTGGATATGTTAGCAACAGTGATGACCCTTCAAGAATGAAGAATGTATTAAACCCATCATCTGAAGATGAAATTGTTAATGTAGGCTAGTTAGTTTTCAATGTTTGATTTTTTTTTTGTTTTTTGGAGTTAAACAAGATGTTTGAAGTATTTATTAACATAACAACACATATTGTTAAATTATGAAAGTGTTTTGATTTTTAAAATTATTTATTCTATTACTTTAATTTTATTTTTATTACCGTTATGAATTCAGGAATTATGTATATTGTTATTGGGACATGAATGTCATTATTGTATCAAAACTATAATAATAATTACATTAATGTAATTATTGTCATAAAAAACACTTATTATATATACGTAAATATATTGCATGATACAAAAAAAGAAAATTATATACGTAATTATATTTTGTATATGATACATGAAATATCAAAATATATAATATCACAAACAGTGATACTAGTTATTACACTAGATACACGCCAGTTTTTTTTTTTTTAAAAATTAATATCTTTTGTACAAATAAGATATATTCAGTACTATGATTTATATATATTACGAACAATTATTTGTCCTTCAAAATATGAAATTTTTTTAAGTATCTACACACATGATACTATATTACTAAATTGAATTAAATTAGAACTGACAATAATTTGGGTGAAATATCCGCAATTAATATTGATTAAAGTAAGTTTGAACAAAGATTATAAAATAAAGTATTTGATATATAAATATAATATAAAATTTAAATAGTGTTTAACAAAAAAAAAGAATTAGTCTGCAAAAAAAAAAGGAAGATCACTAATGAAAAATTATAATTTAATTTAGAGTTTTATATTAGATAAAACTGATTTTGAAACACACAAGTTAATGCTTTTTTTTATGGGATTAATAACTGTAGCATATTAAAAGTAGGAATTAATTCAAATTTCAGTTTTTAATCCCCAAATCACTCAACAAACGGATAAAATAGCATAATATAGAATGTATCCGACTGTTTTATTATGTATCAGAAACTTCTTAAAAATAAGAGATTTTTTGTAAATTAAAAAAAAGTAGGGATAAAAGGTAATTTATGTTTTACACTATGTGATTTACATAATTTTTACTAGTTTAAACGTGTAATTTTTTACAAATTTAAGAAGGAATCTATGCGTTTTTCCTTTTTTTTTTAAAAAAATAAATTTTGCTCCATGTATTTAGAAACTAGTGTTCTATAAATACTTTACGTTCTTCTCGGGATCCCTCACAATTATTACTTCTCTTACAAATCTTTGACTCTTTTTCTTCAACCAAAAAAGGAAAAAAAAATATTGTTTTCTCTTTTCAGTCCAAACTAGATCTGTTATCGCTCTAAAAAGGTATGTTTCAAGGTTTCAAAGTTTCTATTTCAAGTCATAATTATGCTCCAAGATTCGATTTTTGTTTACCCAAATGCGTTCTTTTTCAAGTTGTTTTTTCAGGGATTTGAGTTTTTCTTGATTTTGTGATTTGCAGAGACTGTAATGTCGAAAGATTTGCATTCAGATGTAGAGAAATCTGAGACCCCTTTGAAGCCATTCAAGATTTTCGTAGGCTATGATCCACGAGAAGATGTTGCGTATGAGGTTTGTCGTTATTCCCTTTTGAAAAGATCATCAATTCCACTTGAGATAACACCCATTAAGCAATGTGAGTTGAGGGAGCAGGGTCTGTATTGGCGTGAAAGAGGGAAACTGGAAAGTACTGAGTTTTCATTTTCGCGATTTTTGACGCCTTACTTGGCAGATTATGAGGGTTGGGCTATGTTTGTTGATTGTGATTTCTTGTACTTAGGGGATATTAAAGAATTGAGGGATATTGTCGATGATAAATATGCTTTAATGTGTGTACAACATGATTATACTCCTAAAGAGACTACGAAAATGGATGGTGCAGTGCAAACGGTTTATCCTAGGAAGAATTGGTCGTCCATGGTTCTTTATAACTGTGGACATCCAAAGAACCGAGGGCTAACACCTGAGGTGGTGAATGCTGAGTCCGGGGCATTTCTTCATCGCTTCATGTGGTTGGAGGATGAGGAGATTGGGGAGGTTCCATTTGTGTGGAACTTTCTTGTGGGGCATAATAAGGTTGTTGAAGGTGATCCAGCTACATTTCCTAAGGCGATTCACTATACACTTGGTGGACCCTGGTTTGAAGCTTGGAAAGATTGTGAATTTGGTGATTTGTGGTTGAAGGAATTGGAAGAGTCCAAGAAGGCAAAGGAGAAGGTGGTTTGAGCCAATGTAGACAACATTGTTTGAATCGCAGGGTGTATGTTAAGGTAATCAGCTGGTGGTTATTGTTGTAAGTGTGTTCAGTGACCAGAAGGTTATGCCATTTATTTAACCTTCCACATTATTTATTTTGTATTTTCTCACTTCGAGGTTCTTTGTAATTCAAGCCAGTATTTTATTCTGTGTTGCTATATCTGATAAGCAAACTTTTAAGTCATCTAGAGTTGTATTATTATTTTAATAGATGTCTGTTTGTATAGAAGGTAGTAGATTGTGTGATGATCTACAACTTTATTATTGATATCTGCTCTGGATTTGTAATTTGGTTTCATTAATGAGAAACGATGGAGGTTTGGTTGCTTCTGTAGTTTGGTTTTAGGAAATTTCCCTTCTTCCCCTCTTCCAGCAACATGTTTTGGTTCTTGCATTTATTCTGTATTGAGCAGTGGTGTGTTTTCAAGAAGCTTCTTGAGCTTTTTATGTTCGGGTTTTCTTTTGGGGAGGATGGGGGTTGAGTAGGAAGTGCACGTTACAATAGCTTTTTCTTTTATGTTGATCAAGAAAGAACTTTGAAGAAGTGGGTTGTTCGTATAATTGCTCATTTATGCTTGTGCTGCCTCAACTTACAATAGTGAGACTGATCGTGTCTGTGCTTTAACGTAACAGCTAAATTAGAAGCAGCTGCCTTCATGTCCATCTGTCCTTGTGGTTATTCTTCTTAGACAATTTGCTTGTCCTTCTAATTCTTTTTGCTTGGTAGAAGATGCTATCTGTTATCTTTTATTCTCTTAAGCAATGGGGTATCATTTGTCACCTAAATCTGCACTGATTGAGATGTTATTTGCCAACACTCATTACTTCCTTTTTAATCTATACTTCCCCTTTGTCTATGGTTAAACTGATAATTTTGTGGCACTCTGTCCCTTTGTTCTCTTTTATTGTCACTAGCTTCTGCTATTTTGGGATAGTTTTTTCCAGGTAATAAATGTAAAACAATAGTCTATTCAAAGAGAAAATAAGAATGTTTCTATGCATATCACTTCTTAATGTGTAAGCATACCATTGATCTAATCAAACATCTTTCTAAAGATATGCTTGTACTAGACATCATAGCTTATATTTACCTTCTGTTTTCCGGAAGACATATTTGGATTTGTGGAGTGACTGACCTTTATTTCGAACTTACTTTTCACTGGCAGCGGTATTCTCTGTGAAAGTTGATTAACACTGCTGATTGCATAAGCATCAGACGCTGTAGAGGATTGTTGGCCACTGGCCAATCTTCTCCTCAGAATTCTACCTCTTAATGTGGTAAACCTACCTTCCCTAGATTTTGAACTTCCTAATTCTAACATATCTATCATTATTCTACAGTGCACTTATTTTATAGTTTAAGGGTTTATTTAGGTATCCTACCCTTAGATTGTTTGATTAAGCATTACATTGCATGTGAAGATTTTTATATTTGTGCAGATAACATTATAAACTTCTGATTATTATCAGTTTAATTAGCATAAGTAAGTGGTTTAGTATGTATCGATAAATCTATGTCGCTCTTACTCTTCAAAATCTTTGCCGCACCCGTTTTGACATGACATGGATGTGGCACTCCAGATTTGGTCAACTTACCTTCGGTGCTTTTCGACTACATCTATAACCAAAAGTGTAGATTGATTGGGTATTTTGTCTGATTTTTGGGTTTATGTCATGTAGTCATATAAAGTATGAGAATGTTTGGTTGTTACACTAGATATTTTATGAATGAAATATTAGGTATTGTGATGAGTTTTGATTAGTTCTAGTTCGACAGGCTTAATTGATCAAGATATATACTTTTTTCCACCTGTGGACTCATTGTCGGTCCCTTAATATTTTTGGATTGGGATTGATAATGTTTTCACAACCTGATATATGAATTTTCTTGAATGAACACAAGTCACAGTATTATTTCTCTGGGATATCCTTCGCGTAAAGCATATTCCAAGTGACCCAGTAGAACAGGGGAATTCTTCTCACTTTCGCTAGACACAAGGATGTTCTGTGTATTGTGGACATCTGTGACTAAACAACTTCGTTTTCCTATTATAAGACAGGTCCAGGTATATTGGCTGATAGCTCTGTTATTTCACCTAATTATTTGTGTTTGATGTTAGCTTTGTCCAAGAGAAAACAGGATAAACAGGAAGGAAGCATTATCTCAATAATGTGTGTCTCTACAATGTTCTGTCTAATACTGTTATCCTAACGGTTCATATTTCCTAATTCAAGAGTCACTTTATCATAATTCTCGAGTTCATTTGGCTGAAGAGTATCTCATGTTATTACTGGTTGGATTTATAACACAAATCCATGAGTTGAAGTGTTTGTTGGTGTTAGCTGTGTTACACTTAACTTGTTTCTGTTTCAAACCTAAACAATAATCAGAATTCCAACTACGAACTTGTTAGCTTGTAACGATAACTTGTATCAGTTTTAAACTCCTCATAAGCAGTACAATGATTGTGGTGCTTATTAATGAGGCATCAGTAGTACTACTGTAACTATACGAGCCTGATAAATAATATTTTTAGAATGTAGTTAGGCTAACTTTTTGTGTTTTTTCAGGTAACTGCAACAGAAAAGAGAGGAATCCTTCAATATGATCATTGAGGTTTCAACGTGAAAGAAGATCACGTAATGTACAACAATAATGTAAGGTAGCTCATGAACTCTGCAACTAACAGCTTTAATGAAGTACTCGGTGTCCCAATTTTAAATGCCAACTTTCCTTACATTTGTATGATTGAACTTGGCAGTATCCTCATTGTAGTAATCCAGCTACACTACTTTTTTTAGCTGATTGAGATTGATGTCTGTTGAATGAGCAATTTTTGTAAAATCATTGAACGATTGTACACTCTACCTTCCCCATACCTCACTCGTGGGATTACAAAAGATATGTTGTTGTTCATTGAACAATTGTCGGTTGTAAAAAAAATTTGCAGTTTTGATGAAATGATGATTAGTTGGAGTACCTGTTATTTTAACATTTTAAAACCTGTAGTCTTTCCTCACATATCTGTCATTTGAGATAACTATCATAGATCCTTCTAGGTTTTGTGGAAACAACTAATGCTACACGTTTCATTTTTCTCTACCCTACGACAGGGACTCAATACCAATCTTTTCTATCATACTGCTGTTACTAATTTTTACTTACTTTGTTCTCCGAAGATGGCGGAGCTAGAAATTTATATAAGGGGAATCAACAATTATTGAGTGTAAATCATTAGGTCTTTTTGGTAATGTATGAGTAATTTAACACTCTTAACAATGTCTAATGAAAAAATGAGAAAGATGTGTACATTGGCCAATTATGAGAAGACAAGTAGTAATTATTGAAAACGACCAAATCCAAATTTCTTATTAAAATTACAATTGAGACAAATCAGGTGTCTTACTCTACAGAAACTTTTGAGTTGTCTTTATAAACCATTTACTGAAAGTATTTTTTAAAAAAATTTAAAAATCTTGTCAAGCTATAGAGCAAGAGCTCTCTCTCTCTCTGTCTTTAGTTGAAGTATTAGAGAAGAAGTAGAAAAATGGATGCACCACAATATCAAGAGATGTCTTATGTTGAGCATGTCAAACGTCGACGCGAGGAAAAAGGATGCCTTTATGCTTGGTTTGTACTTCTTCACATCTATTTTTTTTTTTGTATTTACGAGTTTTAGATATCAACTGACATCCATGTCCTTCAATCTTGAGTGTGCACATACTTAAACATGTATAAGGTTGAACAATGAAATGCACTTATTGTATGTGACGCCAAGTAGGATGTTGATGATACGCTAAGTAGGATGTGTCCCTACTTATTTATGTATCTTCTAGTAATTTGTAAACTTGGAAGACATATATGCCAGAAGCTTAGTGAGATGACATGTTTATATATTTTGCTAGTTTTGTTACCTATCTTTTTTTACCTCAAAAGACATCTTTTGACCTTATTTTGATCACTAAAGGCATCTTCTGACCTTATTCTGCTCTGATCCTCCAAAATTGCAGGGGTTTGGTGGGGTGTTTTGTTTTAGTTTTGGATATGTTGTTTGTTCACCAGACTAAAACAGGCTAAGATTGATGGTGATCTTTTCTAGAAGCAAAAACATGTTTATGGGGTTCAAAACTTGGAAGCACAAGAAACCGACAAATTTGTGTTTTAGCTTAAAATTTTTATCAATGACCTACTTAAATGAGCTTGAATAGAGCAATATAAATTTGAGTCGTAGTGTTTTTCTTCTAGTTATATTTGACCTTAACACAATATGGATAGTAAGACAGATTTACTTGACTGAATGAATGCAGTGTGTTCGCAACGTGTTGCTGCTTCTGTTGCTATGAGACCTGCGAGTGCTGTCTGGACATGCTCTGCTGCTGTACTTGATGTCCATCCTAGACATGCCAACCCTGTGTTACTATGTTAGCAACATATTACAAATTCCCTGTTTTCTCACACTATGTCTCTTTTGTTACCTTACCTCCCACTCTATGTTTGAAAACTGTGAAGTTGAATAAACTTGTGCTTGCTTTTAAGTCATTTTCTATTGAATTTCAACGTACAACATTTTATGGTATCTGTTTGTTTGGTGTGAGTATAAGAATTCTCCATTTTGATGAAACATGGACTATGACATACCAAACACACTAGAGTTGTTAAATCTAGATAATGCCTAGAGCAAAGAAGTTACAAATACAGTTCCCTTTGGCATATTTGCATCAAATACAATTACCAGAGAAGGTTTATGCGCAAAGGATAGGCTTAATAAACACCAAATCAAAAGAAAGACACTCGAAGAACAACAAAATAATTGATTTGATTGCCTTCACATTGGCTTAATTTACAGTATGAAACTTTAAAATACAACTGAAGATACACTCAGGTGGAAAGAATGCTTGTGAGTGTCAAATCTTTGCACAAAAATCAATCAAGGATAACTCGAGCAAAATTTTGTTCAAACATTTTACCATCACATGTGACTTAATTTACAAATGTATATTTGAATGTACAATTGAAGAGATTCTTAGAAGGAAATGATGCTTGCAAAGATTATTGTGATCTTTGCATAATAATCTATCAAGGATCAAAAGTAACTTCATTACTGCAGATTTACCTTAGCAACCGAGGATGGGATTTCTCCCTTCGTCAATATCAATGAGAAGAACATGCTTTGGATCTGAGCCAGAAGGTCCTTCTGAGTACAGTGTGGGAAGGTAAGCCTTGTATGCTGGCAAGTAGCGGGATACAAAGTCCTTCACCTGTGAAAAGTGGAACAAAATAAAAAAATTGGAGAACATTTCTCTGAAGCATCAACTGATGGGTTTTCATTTCTTTTTTGAGAAAGAATACACAAAGTGTTACCTCCTCATCAGACATTCCAGGCTTCCCATCAGCTCTCATTGCGATCTCCGCCTGGAAACATCCCACTACACTGGTTAAACAAATAGCACAAGAATAAATGTGGAGGAAAATGCAGATGAAATCACATAACAAACCTGCAAACGCCATTGGTAGACATAACTAGGATCTTGAATTTTGATGACAATCCATGATTTGACATACTTATGCCATGCATCATAATAAGCTTCTAAGTTCTTGTTGATCGTCTCTAGCTGCAATTTCGAAAGGTTCAGTGATCCAAGATGAGATCAAAATAAAAAGCACAAGCATCCAGAGAGAGTCTAGTATTTGAACCTGTGGATCAACAGCTTTGACAACTTCAGGTGGAAGGGGTTTGAAACCAAGCATCCATCCTTCAAACAGAATTACCTAATATCCAAAGCACTGACAATACGTGAGGCAATCTTACCATATCGCTTTGAGTTTGGATCTATGAGAAAAGTTGTGTTTTTACAGAACGAGACCATGATGCTGACATTCTCACATTTTAAGTCATTTGAGAATTTTTACTTTAACTTTGTAGAAATGAGGGCATTGGGATTACTCTTTGATCATTATCATTAGCTGAACTGAAATCCACTAATTGCCAGGTCTAAATAAAAACAACTTCCTACCGGTAGAGGTCCTTCAACCTCTGGCCATTCGGAGGGATCAGCTCTGTCACCTCTACCACTGTAAGCAGACTGGAAATAAAGTTTCAGAATTAGTATCACCAAATATCAATAACCCACCGAGACTTAAATGTTCACAAGTCCGTCTTACTTTATCATATCTTGGAAGCTTCACCTTCACACCTGGATGGAGTTGAATGTTAGTTAAGCATATAGGTGCAGTGCCAAAAGTAGCAGAAGCTGTATAAAGGTGCATTCACCTTCTTTTGTCAATTTACTTAGTGCTGTCAGAGTCTCAACAGAAAATGGAAGATCATGGCTTCCAGCATTTCCACGAAACTGAAGTGAAGATGAAAAATTTTTATTTTATTTTTTCTGAAAAAAGAAAGTGAAATTCGTCATTGTTTACCTCCAAAAGCAAGTTCCCTGGGTTGCTGTCTCTTAGTTTTGCCTAAAACCACATAATGTGTCAGCATTGATGATAATGCATAGACAGAAACTAGCAAGCAGCAAACTTGTGAAACATTTACCTGTTCTTCCGCTGTTAAGTAAAAATCATCAATGGATACTGTCGCAGCTTTCCTGATTAACATGTGTGAGCATAATTTTCGATTACTTTCCTATCCCACAGAAGAAGCAAAAAATCATGAAAGCAGCTTACCTCCCTGTGATTTTAAAAAGATATTCTAATGCGAATACTAGTGTTGTTTTTCCACATCCTTGAGGCGCACTGAAGCCAATCTACATGCCAAGAATAAACCTTACCTTTAGCGTGTTTATGTCTATCTTTACATAACAGACTAGCATGATATTGACCTCAATGGAAATCAAACACACAAGAGCCAAGTGAATGATAAAAATGTGTTTACCACCAATGGAGGGATTTCTTCTTCTTCTTTGAACTTAGAACTATGCTGCGAAATTTCTTGTTCACACCACAAGAAGACTGGAATATAGTAGTGGTAGATTCGAATTTTTTGGGCCTCGTTGAGAGACAACTGATTGAGTTGAAACAATCTACAAAGCCGTAATCCATACTCTATCCACTCGTCAATGGACTCGGCCACCTTTTCTGGTGTCAGACCAATCTTACTGATGAGTGGGCCTGAGCATATGAAGTCATAAAGATCGTCCACAGAAGAAACTAGTGCTCGTTCTTTTGAAGACGCAGCATTCAATGCACCTTGCTTCCTTCCGTTAGGGGAAAAATTATCACAAGAAGCGGATTTATCTTGCATCCATGAACATTCACTGCCTGCACAACCATGATCAGCCATGAATGCAAAAGGGCAAAAAAAACATGGCAGGGCAGCATTTTAACAGAAATAAAATTAGTAGTCATCAACTGATATAAGAAATAAACCATATATATTACAAGAAGGAAAAAGCAAGATCCACTGCATACAGTTAGCTAAGCTATTCATCTTTTAAGGTTCGCTATTTAGCATAAGTTGCATCTCGGCTTACACCTGCAGAAACCATTTATCCCCTGGTAGAGGTTTGTGTTTGTCTTTCTTCTCATATATTACATAATGAATTTCTAAAACCTATCCAAAATTTGGTATATGGATTTAAAATTAGAAGAATAATTCATTCAAAGTTGATCTCTTTCATATATTTTTTTTAAAAAAAGTGCCTCTCAGCCCTCTGGCAGATTCCTCCTCTCTTTGCTCCTCAGCCTACAGGGTATTAACCGCCGTTTCCAGCTGCTGTTCCCCTTCCGAGGGCCAAAAAAGAATAACCTTCAGAATTTTATTTAGTTACTTCTAGTTTTCAACTCCAAACCTTTACTCCTTTCTCTTTAACATAGCTAGGTTTTAACCTGTTCAGCCAAGTTATCATCAACTTCATCTTATCAAGAAATATATCCAATCCTAGGGGGGAAATCCCCATTTTAGCAACTGCAAAATCAATCAACTAATAGAGCAGGTACAAAGCATTTATGTGCAAGCACAGCTAATTATCTGCCAATTAGAAGAATCTCGCCAAAGAAATTCACACCCACTTCGAATTATAAACATAACCATCAACAAGTAAACCCATAATTGAAATTGGAATTGAAACAAAAGTAGAACTAGAATTTTGAAACCTGATGAATTGGAGAAGTGAGGCTGCATTTGAGAGGATAAAGTTGGACGCTTTGGTCTTGGGTTTCCAGAAAGGGGAAAATTTGTCGAGCATTTGGAATCGCCGCAATTGTAATTATTATTAAAATCATAAAAATGTGGAAATCTTGAAGAATATGATATTGATGATGATGTGGATGAAGCTGACAGCTGCCATGGCGACGGAGTCTGAGATAATATATTCAATCCCGCCATTGTCGGCTCTCTCTCTCTTTCACATGCACACAGTGAGAGAGAGTTCTCAGCAAGTGTTTGTGTTGCAGCTTTTTGTGGATATTCAGTTACAAAACGATCGGTTTAGATTTAACCAAGAGGAATCCATGCTTGATTTTTTCTTTTTTATGGGGAAAAACAATAACCAACTAACATATCAAAATACATTTAAAATCACAAGATTCAAACAATAAATTTTATATTCCCTTGAATTTTAGTTCCAAGGACAAATTTTTTTGAAATGGATTTAGATAAAAATATTTAATATTTAAAATTTATTTAAAATTACAAGATTCAAAAAAAATATGTTTGACTTTGTGAGAATTATTTATAGCATATAGTTGATTCCACTTTTTGTTGAAATTATCATTTTTTAAATTGCGTAAACATACTATCAATCATATACATAGTTCTTAAATTGAGAGATTTTTCGAGATACAAACTCTCTACCTCATAAAAATAGGCTAAGGACTACTTGTGTACTTAATCTTTTCAAATCCTACTTGTGAAATCATATTAGATATGTTATACTATAAAAATCATCCCAGTAATTGTTTTTAAAATGTGAATTCATTTTTTAAGAAGATTGTAGTAAGAGAAATATTTGAGTCCCTGAAAATTGTGGGAAAGAATTTAGTGAGTTTATAATTTTATCCATATTAATTATAAAATAGATGATTAAATACTTAAGATTTTCATAATATTGAGGATATAATGAATTTAAAATATTTGTCCTTTCTTGATTTGTCAAAATGTACGAGTAATTAGAGACAACTATAAAAGGAAATCTGAACAAGTAATTAGGGATAAAATTTTTTGATAAGCAAATGATATATATAGAAGATTGAGACAAATCATTCTAAATTACAAAAGCTGGCAAAGGTAACAGGGTTGAAAAAACTAGCATGTAAAGAATCACCTGCATGATTTTCTTGAATTACAACTGAGGAAGTTGCTCATTTTTTACTGCTAAAGTTGCTCATTTAAGTCTATTTCTAGTATGTCAAAGCCTTTACAGCAAAAGAGTGGACAAAAGGAACACTCAATGTGAATTTTGAATCAGTTACTCTCATAAAAAAAGCCTAGGGAGGAGCCAAGTTGCAAAAAAGCCCCTTTATAGAATATCTCATCTGCTTCAGCATTTGCTGCCTCATTTGGTTAGTCTTGTATCTTCAAGTTTCATGTTTGGAACAATGTCTCAAGCAGCTTTGGCGAAGACAAACACGCGACTGACTTGAACTTAGGCATAGGAAAAAGAGACACTTATTAGGGAACTACATATAATGACAACTCAAATGTGCTAATTTTGAATAATAACATACAAGTACCTTTTCTTGTCGGTATTTAGCACGTATGACATTTAGAAGGCAGTTATTTATATTCAATTGTAGACCTTGTAGTGCAATAACTGTGGTTTTCAGATGTTGAGCCTTGTAATAGGTATAGTGCTCCAGTGTTGGACTCTGTCAAAGTAGCAGGCATAAGTTCTACACGCCAGAGGCATGCAAAAGCTAATGAATTAAAGTAAAAGAAAACAAGAAATTCAAGAAGCAAACCCATGGGTGGCTTGACTGATCTAGAGTCCATCTCGCAAGGAATACAGATGATGCAGCAATAGCAGACGGGGTGAATTTCAAGAAGCCATATTCGAGCAATGTCAGTTCGGTGAGATAATTAGCCAAGAACTCTAGCTCCAAATTGGGATTCTGAAATTACGTATCATTCAGCAATACAATTAAAATTCAGTACAGAGAAAAGTTCTGTTGTCATTCTTGGCATTCAAGTGATGCACATTAATTCATTACCTTGTAAGAAGCTTGTGCTGCTCTTATAAATCTCCTACAAATAGCATCATACATATGAAAGATGAAAATTTTCAGTTTTCACATAGACGAAAGAAAAAGAAACACTATGCTGTTATACACATGTAAAAATAAACCATGGCTGAAACAAAAGTACCTGAGGAAGGTCTTTGCAGTTGGAGTTGAGAGTCGGAAACCTAGAAAGTTCAGAACAAGAATCTCCATTGCCAGGACCTGCTCCACACTTTAGTATATTAGAACCTTCAGTTCGTCCAACTTGTATATAATAATATCTGAAAACCATTTTTTTTCTGGGAGTTCTGTAAGATGATAGAGAAATAAAGGGGAAAGGGGAGGTGTCGACATCTTTTTTAGTAACCAAAAGGTTTCATGCAGATATAGTATTTCCTTTGAACTGTACACATAAAATCATTGTTGACAGTATGCTGCATAAGTTGCATTTCTTGTAGGAGTTCCTCGAGATTCTCTCATAATATACATTAGACACAGATCTACTTCCAATATTTGCTAGCTTGAAATAAGCATGGAGATTCATGTAGACCTAGAAGTTCTAGAACTTAAGAAAAACCTCAAAAGCTTGAAGGGAAATAGACACCCTGATAGTTATACCAAATAATATACATTACACAATGACACATAAAGAGAACGTAAACTGCATGTGAAGTTTAGAGAGGAGAGATATATGAATGACCAAGTTCATCAATTAGGTTGTCCATGGGAAGTACAGAAAAGAACCCAAAGATATCATCTTAAACTAGCTAATAGCTTACTATGCAGGAACTGTGCTTGTCCTTCCCACCCTTGTTCGTCACGTAATGCAGAAATTCTAGATCCTGTTGTGAGAACTTGAAAGAGCAGTATTCTACCTCATTTTTCGTGTAAGCATTGTCAGTGATGAAACAGAACTCCTCAACACGTGGACCACACATCTCTTCATATTTCCTTCAAAATTGGAAGAAAAATCCATGTTCAGCCAGATAAAATGTATTTCTTTATTCCGGGATAAAAGGAAAGATTTTTAATACTAAGTGCAAAGTGATCGCGAAAATGCTTGATGTCCTCTTTTTTTACAGGTGAAGGCACACTGCAGTCTGCAAATGTTGGCTAAGCATTTCTTCATAAGCACACATATATATGGAATGATGAGTTTTGTTTTGTCAGATTCTGAAATGAGTGGAGTCCTTAGTCTTGGCCCTACATGCACTTCGTAGCTAAGACGTCTCCAACTATTAGGCATGGCCAACCCATCCAAAGATTCTGAAGTAGTTTTCTGTTTGATTTAGAAAGAAAATATCCTGCATTTCTTTGACTGGAGTTTCTTTCTCTTTTAAGCATTTCAAGAAAATATTTTCCCAGAAAGCAATATTTCAAAGAACCTGTAGTAGTAAAAACAGTTGTGTCGAGCTTACGAGGCAACTAGCATGCAAGTGATTCCAAGGAGCTGGAGGTTTTTCCTTTCCACATAGTTTTTAGAGAGAAATAGATCGATAAAGTGAACAGCAAGATAGAGTGTATCTGGCACCAAGTTATATTCCTCCGACACCTGAAACAAGATCAGACAATGACCTTAGCAACCAGCTTTCTTATAAAGCATTTCTAAAATCAGCAGGCATCTAACAACCATTAGAGCTGAAAAGGTAAAGGAAGGGCCAGAGAGGCGGGACGAATCCATCATCAAGTAGAAATTATACGGACTTATCTAGCACCAAATTCACAAGAATCTTACAAATGATTTATCATGAGTAAAATCACGTACGATCTTTACAAGCCTTATTCAAAACTGATCTAAGATGAATCAGCACCAGATGATGAAAACCCAGAACGAAATTGTAAGTTGCTTGTCCAAGTTAATACTGTTAGGAAATTGATCTGTTTCACATTTATTTGTTCAAGATGAATCAAGTACTAATAATTAGAATATGTCAGAACCGGAAGACATAACACAATATGCTTCAACTATTCAGTTTCTTGTTTTTTTTTTAGATAAACGCCAACTTACCTCCACAATCCAGTCGACAAGGATTGCACGCATACTTTCTGTGATATCTCGCTGGAGTGTTTCCATGAAATTTGAAAGCGGCCATCTAATTAGCTGGAGAAATACAAATCAGAGACTGCATTAGGATAAGTTTACAGTTATCCACTGCAACTGAAAAAGACTACGGCTACTGCTTGACACCAGTATCCTAAAACAAGGAAATCTCAGAAGTCATACAAGTCGAGATTTGGATTCAGAAATTAAGCAAATAATGCTTGTTAATATGCAGATAAAAACATTCGATAAGTAGGTGTCACAGTGGAAAGTGTTCTTGATCTGAAGTATCCAGCATTCTCTCATAAGTGAACATATATTGAATGTATGAAGGAGGATTAGCAAAGAAAAGAAACAAAATGGTTGCAGATAAAACTGAAATTATAACGGAAGTTGAGCATTGTTGCTGATTTGTCTAACTCGAATTTTGAATAAAACAGTGAAAAGCATCCTTGAGTTGCTTGGGCAAATATGACCTTTGCAAGAATGCCAGTTACTTCTTCAACTAAGAAACCTGTGCAAGAATATCAATTAAACGAACCTCTGCAACCCGTAAATTGTTATATATATCATGAGCATATTGACTGCATTGTAGTGGATCTTTTTTATCAGAATCAATGTCTATGAAGTCCAACTTTGTTGATGTTGATAGTGCTGCATCAGGAACAGCTTTCCTAACTATGCCTGGTAAAAAGTTCAATTAGTTTAGTATGCAAAAAGAAAAACATTAACAGAACTACATGGTCACAATTACATGGAACACAAGAAAGCTAGTAGATACGAATCCTTTCTCTAGAGAAAAATGTCAAAGAAAGAAAGTGTAATGGAGAATTACTATCATTATTTAGGTCAAAAACATATTCTCTAAGTACTCAAGAATAAAGTATGAGGATAAGACCAAGGTTCCCTCATTTGATTTATAAATAACTACCACAGAGAAATCAATTGTTATCATCATCTCCTTTTTCTTAGTTATCCTTTCCAGAACCAAAAGCTTGTCAAAAGTTATATCGTCTCTATGAAACAAGTTCAAAAGGAAACTAACTTTTTCTTGGAAAACCTTTGATTTCTACTGCATTTCCTTGTTGTTCATGCGACTTTCTGTCTGAGCAACTTTGATTAAGGCTACTCCCTGCAGTTAGACAAACCAGGTGAATATTCATAAAACTGACTCAAATAGTACTTCTCAGATTAGAAAGACATGCTTTCAGCATCTTGATCCATACTTGGTGGTAACTTGGCTGGAAATTGAGAGACTTCAGGGTCAACAGAAGTGGTAGACACATTCATTGAGCTGTTTCCAACCCGCATGATCTTCTTCTTCTTCTGACAATTAAAATAAACTAAATCAGATAAGAACAGGGATAAAATGAGCCAGCAGGAAAGTGTATACACTATAACCAAAGCTTTATTAGGATAATATAGAAGCACATACAACACATGAATCCTTGAATTCTCTAATGCACAATACTATTCTCTACTTGCAATACTTCAGATATTTCAAACCTCTTACTGATATTTAAAGAACTCAACAACAGTCAATTTATGAAACTTGTTTCGCATGGTGTCAATGACAATGTAGATAATACAAGTAAAACAGGAAGAACTACTAACTGGGACTTTCACAGCATCTCCATTTGAAGTGTTGCAACATAGATTTGTGACATCCTTAAGCACTGGCCGACATTTCTGCTCCACACAGGAAGTAAGTGGAACATTCTTGTTCCTCACCCTAAGGATTGCCGGGTCAGAACTTATCTGCAGAGCACGTTTCTGGCCCCGCTGCTTTGGCAGTTCTCCAGTGCTAGCAACCATGGATTTTTCAGAGACAGCAGCTCGAGATCTTGTAACTCGAACCATGGGCTCAATTGCAGCTGAGATTACTGAATTTTCTCTCTTCATAGTAAGTGTGGGGGGCATGGAATTAAGCTAGTCAATTTACTTTTAGTTGAACCCCCTCATTTACCTGCAAATTTTCTCAAAGTCAGTAACACTACATATCAAGAATTATGAAGCTCAAGAAACAACGAAACTAACAAAACTTAACATGCTTTATCATGGAAGTCAACCATTATAATTTATAGCCAAGTCAAGGTTAAGCTTAATGTTGACTAAATCTACCACCATATAAGGAAGAATTCATGTAAAAATCTTTCCATCGCACTCCAATTCACTGGATAATACCATTCAAAATGTAATGGGCATGTCATATCAAGAATAGTGAAGCTCAAGAAGCATTGAAACTAACTGAAACTTAACATTCTTTATCATGGCAGCCAACCATTATAACTTGTAGCCAAGGAAAGCTTTCGCTTCATCTCGACTAAATCTAACACTTAATAAGGAATTCATGTATAAATCTTTCCATAGGATTCCAGTTCAGTGGATAATACCATTCAAAATGAAATGTGCATAAGAAATGCCCAGTATTCTGGATCCATATTCACAAAAATAATACGCCACTCGTCAAAATAACACGTTCACATGTCCTACTAATATCAAGCATGAACATTAAACTATTAACCATCAAAAGAAGTACAAATATGAAAGAACTTATTCTTCAAACAACAACAAACATATCCCACAAGTGGGATTTGGTGAGGGTAGAGAGGTCAAAGAAAACAATAGGAGCGGAGAAACCAAGGCAAAACATTAACCAAGGCAAAGAACTTACATCTCCACTAATGTATATGTTCTAAAACATAAACAGGAGAAAAATCTCAATGAAGCAAACAAGCACAACCAATGTAGCTCAAAATCGAACTATAATCCAAGAAACGTTTAAAAATACGTCTTTTACCAAACATCTAGATGCCTAATTAAAGGAAATTCCTCTATATTTCTTCTTCTCTACTCCAAGAATTCAAAATTATCAGACAAAACCAGCGACCCACTTCAATAAAACAGAAAAAAATGAACAATGTAAGAAGGAAGATTCAAATTTGATAATTTCAAGAAACCCCAATGACCATATCATATGAGCAAAATGTTATTGAACAAAGAATGTAGATTAATAAACCTTGTTTCTGCATTCAACAGCTATAAGAACATTCAAGAATGTGATCAAGACAGGATCTTGATGAAAGAAAATGGAGATTGAGATGGAAGAGAGGCGGGATATTGAGTTCAAAGTTCAAATTCAAGAAAACTGAAGAAAGGTTAAAAATGAGATATAAAGAAATTCAATTAGGGAGTAATTCTTTATCTTGGGTTTACAGTAATGGCCTCTGAGAAAAAGAGGAAATAAAAAACAGAGAGAGGTTTGACTGATTTGACTAAAACGGTTTTATAGAACAAATTAGTATTGTAATTTGGTTATTATAAGGTAACACGCGGTCCGAAAATGTAAAATACAAGGACATCCTAGCTGGCTGTTTTATTCCTGAATTGCCCCATCACTTTGGAAATTTGTACACATTTAGTCCTTTATCTATTATAGTAGTATTATTATACTTGTATTTTCTTAATCCATTTTGCTTAAAATATGAAGTGAAAAATGTGCTATTATGAAAAGGTGAATCACTAAACCTATTAAACATTTAAAATTATAGGTCTAATGATTTGAGACCTAGCTATTGTTACACCTTATGAGACAAAAAAATATAATATGAGGTATTTACGGGTGATGAGTGCAAATAAATTTTTGTAACTAAGTAACTCTTGTATTAACTAACGATGGCCCCAAAAGGGGAATGATGACTAGATTACAATGCAAAGAGAGATTAATTGAGAAAAAACATCATTCACTTACCCTACTCAAGGGACTCTAATGGCATATTTGTACTCTTATATATATAAGAGCTTTGATGTATCAATTTGTGCATAACTCGATTAATTCATGAAGCAACTTGCTACAAGTGTTGTAACTGGATTCAGACCTAATATTTCTGAATTACTCTCATAACTAAGCAACTACTAGGTGATTCCCCTTGGGATATGCTAGTGCCATGTTTCAGTTCAAATGTGTATAATGGTTGCATGAGATATGCTCAGACAGATAAATGAGACACTTCCATCATCCATTTAAGAAAATTAGGTGTCTGAAATACTTGATTTCAAACTATACAGAATGGGCAAGTTTTAGCTTGCATTTCCAATGATCAAATTGCAAAGCTTAAAACCTTTGAATTATTTATTAAAGGGTACAAAGTGTCTTTAGTGGTTTTGTTGATGACTTATGTCAAGGAGAGAATCATGAAACCATTCCAAAATTTACCAGCTCTTCCAAACCTTTTCTGAGCCTTTCTGCAGCTACTCGACAGTCCTTCTCAATCAATCCTCCAAAGGCGATCCTAAGATAACCTGGACAACCGCTGGAACTTCCAGGGATCAGGACTACTCCATGCCTCTTAGCTAGCCAGTGAACTACTTTGAAGTCGTCCATGTATTTATCTGGCAGCTTTGCCCACAGGTAAATGGCAGCTTCTCCCCCTTTAACAGCCCCCTCTCCCAAAGGAGATAAGGCTTCTTGTAGCACCTCTCTGTTCTTGACAAGGTCCTTAACTTGATTAGCTACCCATTCTGGTCCCATTTCCATTGAGTAGAGAGCCAGTCGTTGTGAGATTATTGAAGCACAAATCGGTATGTTGTCCTGAACTTTAAGGAGTTGAACTGCAAGCCCTTCCACTTCCGATGGGTATGCTATCTGCATCCATAAGACATGAGTTTAGCTCGCTTCACAAGATGAAAAAACTTACCTAATTCATGAGTAAATATTCAGTACAAAAGTTAGCTGAGGAATTTTGCTGCAAAATTAACATTGCAGAAAAAACATGTCCTAAAGCAATCATGCCTCATTCGCAATAAGTCTTAGCTGTTGGAACAACTCATTTTTGTTGCAAAAGAACACTTGTATTTGGTTTCTAATGAGACCAGTTTTATATCCAATTCTGGCAGATAACGCAGCCAGATACATGTTTTTTATAAAAGCTAATGAATAACAAGTATAGAGAGATATATTAGAGGTGTCATACATGCTGGTTTTAAAAAGAGATGTGCGAGTAAAGAGAAGCAGTTTAATTTTGGGATATAGGTAAAGGTGTGGGAGTTTATGAGGCAAGAAGATGCAGTTGGGGAAAACATAGAAAAATCATCTTTTAACCAGAGATATATTTTTCTGGTTGTGTCAAGAGTCACTTAACAGATGACTAATCACTTGTGAGTTGTGTGCCCAGTATCATTACATTTCTAGATATAAGTTAGAACAAGAATCACTTACATATCCAACTCGCCATCCCATCATCCCATATGCTTTGGAGAAGGAAAAGATGTTGACAATGTGGTTTGCTTCTATGCAAACATGCTTGCGATCATCATACATAAAATACCTGCAAATAACTTGCAACGTATATATAAGAACATATCATTCAGGAAAACAGAAAACCACAAACATAGTGTACAGAAAAAAGTTGCAAGAAAAAGAAGGGACAGTGATGATATTCGACAGAACAATATGTTTGCATTCATGGAGGAGCAACGACTCAATAGATACATGTCTTAACTATCTAACTCCTTGAGAAAACAACTTTATAGGCTTATTTGTCAACTAGGGATTGAGAAAAAACAGCAACAAGTTGGCCAATAAGGATGAATTCAAGACTGATCCTTCTGTCATCTTAGCTATTTCCTTTCCTCCCCTTCATACCTATTAAAATTCTGCAACAGATCCCAGGATAGCATATATTTTCTTGCCAAGCAAATTTAGTGTAAGTTAAAAGTTCACAAATCATAAATATTTCCTCTCAATGCCAACACAAACGACCTGTATCCTTGGTTTTATTCAAAAGACTCTTGCTGGTCTAACTAAAAGTATTCCAGGATTAGTCAATTCAACAACTACTTCCCTCATCATCTTTAGTTCTAAGACCATCATCATTCGTCCACAGACAGAAAAACAAATTAGCACCAGTAATTAACATCAAGCACTCAATTCAATATGAGAAACTAAAAGATTTGTATTCAACAGAAAAAATCACTTACTCATATGTGTTATCAATTACGAGCCAACATCCCGCTTCCTTACAAATATCAGATATCCTCTACATGACAAAAACTCAACTTGTTAATGTTTCAATAAAGTAAAAACCACACGACAATACTAATGCATTTGATAATTGAGGACTTCAACAATCTATCATATCTATAAAGATGAGATAAGAGACCTTAAGAAGGGACTCAGGAATATATGTTCCTGATGGATTGCCGGGATTAACAACAGTGACAAGCTTTGGGGTTGGTACAGTATTCTTTAGAGTACTCTCCAACCAGTCTGAAAATTGAGAAATTATGGAATATGTCAAACTCATAGACAATCAAACAAAAAAGGCAGATATGTTTTGAAATTCTCAAGTCAATTTCGCAAAACAGTTGCAATATTTAGGTTAGATTATGCATCAAAGTGTCAAACTTTAAGTTATAACATACTTAAATCAGGTCAATAATCGGGACTGAAGTTTACTAATTTCATTTTTTATTTTTCTTTTCTTTCTGGTGGGGATGTGGTGAGGACATCCAATACAAGAAAAAGCACAGAACAAATGTTTTCCAGACAACATTCAACAAATCAAGATCATTTACTCAACTTGCAACACAAAGCAGAACACTATTCTGCAGCAACCTTATCTTCAGTTGATTTCTACACAAATAGTGTTAGATTCGGAGAAAATGGAGTTTATTGAAAAATTTCAGCAAAGGGGGAAAAAGTAACTCATAGTGCAAATGTGAATAGTGATTTCGATATATTCCCGAGTGCTCAGACGACAAAGATAAAACGGATGTTCACTCTAACTTGAACATGCATGCTAGCACAAAAGAGATGTATACCACAATATCTAGTATAATCAGTCTTAAGGAAAACTAATGGAAGGAATAGTAGTGTCTTAATAATGCGGAGGCTACCACGAAATGAACATCATATGAAAGTACAAACCTGCATCAGGATGGAGTGTCTTTGCATCACCAGGACCCACCAGAATATCGGTAACACCTGTCATCTGGAATGACATGTGTGCATTGAAATAGTATGGTGCAAACATAACGACCGAATCCCCAGCATCACACAGTGTGAGAACGACATTTACGAAAGCCTGAAATCAACCCAATAAGATTCCATTAGAGATTTCTCAGCGATAGGGATACAGCTCGTCCATTAGTCACTAACATAGATTTATGCACCAATTAATTTACCCATAAATGTAGCATCTCTGTTTCACTACAAATGGCTCTTTAACATAGCTCTATTATCTTTATTCAGCATAAGATAGCATCTGAATTTGTTTATAGTAGTAAATAGTGATATTAATTTGGAGCACTATTGAGGACACCACTCTCCTATTCAAAAAAGAGAATACTGCTCTGTAACGACAGGTACGTAATGATAGGTCTGTACTCAGTACTCGGTACTCTGTACTCTGTACTCATACTTTGTGAGCCTATTGAACCATCATTTAATCAGTCATGGAAAGTCTATCCAATTAAATCTCAAATTATTACCCTAACTAATCCCAAGTTCCATTTTGCAGACAAAATTGTGAGGTTCAAGTGCTTGAGCATTTTAGGTATGTCAGTAGATTTTTCTCTAATATGTTTCTGACGGATGATTCTAAATGGCGAGTTTTGTTGCTGCAGATGTTCCCATTGCAAGATTGCCATCTCATGAGAGCGACAACATACAAAAATATAGTGATAGCATGCAAGAACTAAAAGAGGTTTTATAAAAAAAACAAAAAACAGAGCAATTTTTGATCAAGTTGTAGCATGGAGCTGAATAAGCCCACAACAGAAGAGTAATCTTCTTTTATCAAGAAAAATATACATAAACAGAAGAATAATCTTTAGATGGGTAGAAGCAGAAGAAATAAAATCCACATCTCAAAAGCACACGAACTTTCAGTACACATCATGATATACAAAGAAGAAAAATTTCACGAGTGAAGCAGTTCTATTTGTCTTTTCATAAGTTCTCCATAGCGTTTATCAGGAAAAGCACTATATGGAAGCTAGCATTTTGTTGACAACATAGACTCTAACAAGTCTTCCCCGAAGAGGGGGAGAGAGAGAGAAAGGGGAGAAAAAAGAAAGGAAAAACATTCACTCACAAGGAGATGAATCTCTTAGTATGATGACAATGCAATAGTAGAAAATTGCACTTCCTTTGAGGAGCCCTACCACATTCCTAGTCTGAACTAGCCAACTCTAAACATAAAAATGAAGGGAAAAGGGGAACTGAAGAATAGCTAAGGAAGATGAAGTAAGCATGCACCGAATACTGGTCCTTTGTCAAAGCAAATGAACCTGGTATGAAGGTGGAGTAGAATCAATCTCAATCCACTCTAACTCAAGAAAGCTGGAAGAAAGGCGAGAAAGAAAGGCAGCCTACTACTATTAAGAGCAGGTAAGAAAGAGAGGCAAGCTGACTGGTACCTACACCCTCAAATGACTGAATAGCATTAAAGTAACATTTTACCTGATTTGCACCGGCAGTAACCATCACTGAAGATTTATGTAGGTTATTTTCACGACCCAACTGGAGAAGAGCACAAAGAAAGTATTAGACTGAAAGATGTAAAAATCAAATCTCAACGAGTGAATAATATAGTTTGAAAGCATGAAATGAATGTGACAGTAACTACTGGTTCACTAGGCAAAGTACCATACGCCACTCCAATTTTTGTTCCTATAAGATGCAAACCAGAGTACCAAAGAAATCCAACTGATAAACCATACCTTTTGCATCAATGCCTCCCTAAGTTCAGGAAGGCCCTCATCGGCACCATAGCGACTAACTGAAGGTTCCCAGATAGCTTCTTTCACCTTTTCAAGTGCTTGCGCAGGTGGTTGCCAGTACACTACTCCCTGCAAGACGGAGAAGAAAATAAGATGGTACCAAGATATATGGACGGAAAACATGGACAAACCATATTCAGGCAAAACCAATATAACTTCTCAATCTAACAGAAAGATCCACCCACAACAGATAACTCTATTCTTTTTGTTTACTCTTTCTGGAAGATACATAAGAAGCAATAAGTACCCACCCATTCCCCAGGACCCCAGCAAACTAGACAGCTTTTAAAACTTCCGTTGGTAGGTTTAGGTTGATTAAACTATTTTTTTAATATGGAGGTTGATTAAACTTGCTTGTCGAAAGATCGGTCCTGAGAGATTGTAATAGTATCAGTCCTTCGTAAAATAGTCTAACACTAGACGGATAACACTTAAGGATAATTTCTCGCAGCATGGGGGCTGCAGATATTCTTCTGGATCACAGCATACTTGGTCAACTCAAATAAAAACAGATCAAGAGAAAAGTATGACGACGCTTTTTTCACAGGAAAAGGACAAACTGACTATGGAACATACTAGCAAAAAAGTTTTGTCACTCCAAACATCATGGGAGAAACCCCAGAAAATTTCTTGACAAAACCAGAATCTCAGGCAATTTAAGTTATTTGCAATCACCAGAGGAACTTAAGGATAGACAGGATGTCAACCTTATGCTAGTAGCACCACCTTTATGTGTGCTCTAGGCCCGTAACCCATCCACAAAACCCTTTTACCCACACAGCTCAGTGGCCAGTCATAATCTCCATTTTCCATATTCAAAAACCATCTGCAAATACATTCATTACATGGGAGAGAAGTCCAACTGGAATTTATTAGTTTTTCCATCACTACCTTAAATATTAAGCAACCCACATTTCAACCAAAAAAATTGAAATTGATAACCCCAAGAATGAATCAGACAAATTTAATCTAAGTCAATCTAATCAAAATTTCGAAAGGCACAAAAAAAGATGATCTGTAGGCTTCAAAACCACCACAACACAGATGAATTTTATCAAAGTTCTCAGCTTCTTGAACCTTTCAATGGTGATTAGAATAATAAAACTAATGAAACAAAACATTGGAGCTAGTAAACAAACCTGAGCTAGAGAAATACAACCTTTATTACTTCGAACCAGTTCTTGTATCTATATTGCAAAAACACAACAACAACAACAACAAGACATCCCATCAATGCACAGAAATTTAAACCAAACAAACATAAAAAAAACAACAAATCCAATCTATATTCTTGAAATTTACCTGAACCATAACTGGTGTCTCGGTAAGCACAGCCCTTCTAGCAAGCATTCCAAAAGACCCCATTTCCTCTTTTCTCTCTAAAACAATAAAAAAAAAAAAAAACCCTTCAAAGATAAGAGTTCTTATCCACCTACCCAGAAAGTAAAAAAGGCCTTTTTTCCTTTTCTGAAAAGATCTTGCAAAAAGATTGGAACTTATATAGAATGAGATCGTAAAAAATATAAAAATTGGATCTTTTTGTTAAATTAATGAATAAATTTGACTGCTACGGACAACCCTTGAAACTGCTAACTGCAACTAGGAATTAATAATATAGTAGTAGCTGGCAAAAGGCAAAAGCCAAAGGCCATAATGACGTAACCCCTTTCTGTATTTTTGTGTTTCATACACGTTATAGCATTACAGTAAGTAATATGTTAGGAATTTGTTTGACTGTTAGAAGTTGAAGTATCCATTAGTATTAATTTTTGTAGAGAAAATGAAGCAAATTTCTCTCTTTGCCTTCCCTTTTTGTGCCTTAGTTGACCCTATCTCCCAACCTACTTGTCCAATTCTTGGTCGAACGCAAAAATAAAGTAAGACAAATAAATTAATTATGTTTCCTTAAATATTATGGGGTTATATGTCATCGAGATGGAATAATTGATTGAGAGAGATTTCACATTGTCTAAAATAATTATTGTGTATCCTTAATAAAAAATGACCTCTTAAAGAATCGTTTTGTACAAAAACAAGATGGACAAAGTTATCCCGTGAGTAATAAGAGCATGCATTTACTTTTACTTTTCTAATTTTTATTGAATCTCGTAAATATATTGAATCTTGATTAAATTGAATTAGGAAAGTGTAAGATGCATTTCAAAGAGAAGTACTCCTTTATACAAATGGAATTTCTTTTTCGTATATACTATCACTTCCTTGTGTTATTTACTAGACACAAGGAAGTCGATAGATGTTACTTTCTTTATTTTATATTAAGTAAACTTGTGAAGTAATAAATATTTTCTTTAAAAAAAGTTTAAACATAATTTTTCAATTTTATCCTTTTATACTATTTTTAAAATATAAATAATTCAAAGTAAAACTATAAATATATACATCTTGAAATTATAACCTAAAAATTTAAATAAAAGTCAAAAAAAAGGAAAAATTCAAAACATTTATTTTGAACTCTGAACAATTTACCTATTTTAAATTACATAAAAGAAGTAAAAAAATCCACTTATGTAAATGAAATGAGAAGAGTCAACTAAATATATTAAATAATTTCTTTTTAAGAGTGTTAAAAAGGTAATAAAATTTGTTATATTTAATATTTTGCATGGAACATTTTAAGTAATGAAAGAAAAGAGACAAAAAAAAATGGAGAGTGAAAAAGTAGGACACACTTATATTAAGTTATACCAAAATAACAAATAGATGATAAAAAGATATACCATATTTGAAGAGACATCAAACATGCATGTTGATACTGAGAAGCTTATCCACTCCTCTAATAAGTATAGGAACTTATTCCTTATACGAATAGAATCGTTATATATTTGTTCTTCCCTTATAGGAATGGATTTTTTTAAAGAGATCTGTATACGGTGAAATTTCGTAGGATTTAACAAAATATGTTCGATTCAAGTTGGGATTTTATTAGAATTTTCGGAAGCTACTCAATCATAAATCCTAGTTTCTGTCTATATAAAGACTGCTAAATTCTCTTAAAAGACATCTCAAAAATTTCATAGAAAAATCACGATCTCGAAATATTTCATAAAAGTCATGAAATATTCATATAGAAGTCAAATCTAAATCATCCTAGTTGAAAAATACACCATTAACGGCCATCGAATCATGAATAAATCTTAGGAGAGGAAAATCAATGAGTAACAAATTGGTACTCACAATCTTGATTAATAAAATCAGAATATTAATGAGGAACAGATTTAAAATCATATTTTTTTATATTTTATTTGTGTAGTATATTTATTTTACTATATATGTATAAAATTTATTACAAGTATTTCTTTATCTGAATATAATTTTTTTTCATATTTATTTATGAAAAAAAACTTATTCACATAGTTGTTTACATCAAATTAATATAATTATTATTATTAAGTGATTTAATAAACAAAATATATATTAGTTAATGATGATTTAGTAAAATAAATTATTAATTTATATATATATATATATATATATATATATATATATACATATACGCCCGTGAGTAAGTTTTACCTATATTTATTTATTTTTGTTTAGGAAGTGCGAAACTTCCGGGTACATTCAATATTTTATTTTATCTTTATTCTTTCCATGAGAATGTGTGAATTCAAGATAACAACTTTTTATAAATATGGTTAGAAGTAAATGCTTTTTATTTTAAAATATTGGGATAATGTCCAAGTACCCCTCAACCTATGTCCGAAATCTCAGAGACACATTTATACTATACTAAGGTCCTATTACTTCCCTGAACTTATTTTATTAATAATTTTTTACTCTTTTTTAGACTACGTGGCACTATCTTGTGGGCCCAACGATGGTTGACTTTTTTTTTCAAACTAGTGCCATGTAAGCTAAAAAGGGGTAGAAAATTACTTATAAAATAAGTTCAGGGGATAATAGGACCTTAATATAGTATAAGTGTATTTCTGAGATTTCGGACATAGGTTGAGGGGGTACTTGTGCATTTTCCCTAAAATATTTTTTAAAAGTTAATTTGACATAGAATTTAACATGTTATTTTAAAATAGAAATATATATTTAGTTTGCTATATCTTTTTCTTTTTTAATTTTTCTCTTAAAAAATATCTTTTTTTAACTTTTTATTGTTAGCTTTACATGTTTAAATTAGCATATTAGAATATATATTTGGTTTGAAATTAACAAAATAATTAATTCTTTAAAAAATATATATACTAGGTAAAAAAGCAAACAAATAAATAAAAATAGAAAAAAAAATAATATATTAAAATTATTTATAAATGGAGTGAGGGAATACAAATCAATGAGGTTTGGTAGAAACAAAAAGGTTGGTAGGAGATAAGACTAACACCCAATGGCCACTTCTTTTGCTTTTCCTTATTTGACGATAACACTCAATGAGTAATATATTATACTTTCGTCGTTTTGATTTGATTTTAATTTAATACGAAATTTCTTTTAAGCATATGATAATTTTAAATTTTAAACAATGCTCTACCAGTGGAGTTGTCTGGTCAATTCATATGAGTGTCGTGTTCCATGCAATTTTATATGAATTCTTCACGATATTCACATGAGTTTTTTTTAATGGTTGTCCACAAAGTGGTAATCACTGTGGATAGGGTATTTACTATTTAGTGCTCTTATTTTTTGGAACAAAATATCCGTAAAGATATCGTACTTGAAAGGTTTACCTAAGACCATATAAGGAGGTCAACTTTTCATCCCTTTAACAAGACGCTACTTCTTAACACTCTCCTCATGTCTAGATCTTAATTAGAGCGTGAACATCAGTGAACAATAAATTGGGATGCGTCTGACTCTAATATCATATAAAGGCATGACACCTGAGTCTAACTCAATTCCAAAAGCTAGTTTATGAGGGGGAGGTTTATTCAAGTCCATATACGAAAACCAATTTATCGTTCCTCAAAGATGTGGAACTTCTTAACAATATCATCACTGACTCACTTCACTGGTATTTTTATGCTTTTTATTTACAAAATGTGATGAGAGATAGTAATTGTAAACATTTTTTTATGACAAGGAAAATCGGCAACTGCTATCCTTCTGCTCCTATGCAATAAGCTCGCAGATCACATAGATTGCAAACAAACTAAAGCAAATTATAATGTTAAATTACACGAATCTAACCTGTTGGTAAATGCAAAAGCAGAAAACAACTAAAAGTAGACTCACGAACAGTTCACCCTCTCTTTTTTTTTAATTGTGTATGGATCAGCTTGCGTGCATTTTGACTACTTCGATGATGTTACCTGCCATCTCCCACTAGCATAGTTACCGGATAACTCTGTCTACCTAGGCTTGAACTGTTGTCTCTGGCAGAGATTGTTGGCTTGGTTTCTTGATATCTTTCCTTGTCTAATAGCGAAATTTTTCTCCTCAAACTGATTCTTGGTCATTGAGGGGTCGTTTGGTACAAAAAAATGAATAATGCAGGGATTAGCAATGTGGGGATTAGTAATGCAGGGATTATTTTTATCAAGTGTTTGGTTCATTGTTTCTTATCTAATTTTGTGTGTGATTTAAAAGTTTTAAAAAGAAAACTTTCCAATTATACCCGAGAGTTATTATGAAATTTTTTATTTCATATAATTGAGCCAAAATAGATAATCAACGGAGAATATTATTTTTTTTATAACATTTTTAACTAGTTAGGAGAATAAAATTTTTATTGTCATGTTCACTATTTTTTCTCACTTACATTATTTGAGAGTAATAATTGTCATCTTAATAAATTAGAGTTAATAACTCAAAAGGTCACACAATTATAATAATTATAGAGAAGATTTATTGAACTTGTACCAATAAATTTTAAAAAACTCTTTATCATAAAATAAAATAAAAATATAAAATAAATAAAGAAAAATAAATTAAACTATTTTTATACTCGAGATGTGTGTGTATATATACACACACTCTTGTTTTAGACTACTTGTGTAATGTTTAATGAACTTTTATTAAAAGACAATATTTTACTTATGAATTGTTCTTAAATTCATACATCAACATTAACATATTAGTCGGATTATAATATTTTATATTAATAATAAATAGATTAAGTAATTCATATTTTAGAAACAAAAAATTATATCTAAATAATAAAATTTGTAAGCTAATTTATTTAAATAACTTTATCAATATAAATATAAAATATAAAATCAAAAAAAAATATTAAAAGGATTTGAGGGGTATTTTTGTCTTTACCTAGAATAGTCTCATGGTATTAGAGCTAATACCTCCAAATGGAAGGTATTAGTAATACATCCTATAATACCATGTTGGAGGTATAACTAATCTATGAATTAGTTATACATAGGCTCAAATTTCTACTAAACATAGTACTAAATAATACCTTACATAATCCATGGACTATTTCTTTTAATGCAGCCTACCAGACGACCCTGAGAGTTTCATTTGGTTCATTTCCCCGCCCAATCTGTCAGCTAAACGGAGCATCTCTCTTTCATGTTCAATCTCCTCTAGAACTTTTGGAGATATGTATTCAGAATCTCGTATTCTTTTAAATCCACCTCCTGTTGCCCTGGATGGTTTCTGCAGAGAAGTGCATCATGTTTGTGAATGTCCTTACATTAGGTGATGGTCCAGAGTTCCTTACTGCTTGAAGAGTTCCATCATTCTTCCTCTGGCTTGTTTCTGCCAAGTATTTCACTAAGATATTACATGAATAAATACTCTGTTTCAAGTCCAATTTCTTTGGCCTGCTCAACAATGTCAATAGCATGTTCTAGCAGTAAACGCCTTTGTTAATACATCAGCAACAAGATTTGATCTTGCACCATTATTAGGTGAATAAAGTCTGCAAAGCAAGACGGCTTACATTATGCAAGTCAATACCAGCATTTTGAAAGTTGAAAAGAATGTAGGAAAGGATACAGTATACACCTTGAATTATTTGAGACCGCAACTTCAGTTCAACTGAGGAGTTGAGTGCTAGCAGACTCTTAAGGTTTTCAATAAATGGCTTTGTCAGTTAACAAATCAACAACAAAAGGCAAAGATCTTTGTGCAAGAGAAAGCTAAGAAGACGTCAGTTGGAGGTCTTCTTCTATCCTTACTCAGATTTCTTCTCAATATCTTACCATTGATCTCCACAATTGCAGCTTCCATTCAGGAACTTATGGTATCTATTTACATCCCGCACTATAATCTCTCTCTCAACAAGTCTACTAATATACTTAAACGCCTCGTGACAATCCCTGCAAATTCTCAAATTCTTCACAATCCGCAAAGCTTTACCAGGTGGTGCTGTTCCATTCAACAATCCAAATGCCAATGCCAGCTTCTCACTGTGATGCCAAAGTGATTTCTTCTTCTCCTTCTCTTCTACTTCATGCAACATTTCAGTCCATACGGGCACATAGCCCAGTTTCTCAATCTCCTCCATTAACTCTGTTAACTTGGCATAAATCTCATCGGTTCTCTCATGCCTCCTATCACCAGCTAAAAACATATGAACCTCTCCCAGCGCTTCAATCCAACTCTTCCCACCTTCCTTCCTCACTTTCTTATCCTTCATTCTCTTCCACACCTCCCTCACCTCATCCCACCTACCTGCACTTGCATAAGCATTAGCCAAAATTACATAAGCTGAATCATCCATTGGGTTAATCTCCAACAACCTATCACTCATCCTCCAAGCAATATCCATATTCACGTGATATGCACATTTAGACAATAATACTCGCCATAAAGCTGCATCTGGCTTAAAAGGCATGGTTAAAGCAATTCGCTCTGCCTCCTCCAGACGTCCTGCTTTTCCCAATGCACCCACCAAACACGTATAGTGCTCAAGACACGGCTCCAAATTGTAATCTTCAGTCATCCTCTTGAACCATATCTCAGTCTCTTCAACTAAACCTGCATTGTAAAATGCAGTCAAAGTAGCTAAGAAACTGTACTCATCCGGTACCATTCCCCGTTCTTCCATTAAAGTAAAAAGCTCTATGACATTTCCATGTTCCCCTTGTTGAGCATGCCCTGCCATCATGGCATTCCACCCGACAATATTGAGTTCCATTTCTAGCTCATCAAACACTCCACGAGCGTTCCCTACAAGCCCACATTTCCCATACCCATCAATCAATGCACTGCCTACAATGACATTCAAATTAAGCCCTGTTACCATCGCATGCCCATGAATAATCCTACATTGTTCAAGCATAGCCATGTCAGAACCCGCCCGCAAAGCCCCAGAAACACTAACCATAGTAGATGCCATACCACTCCTCCTCATTTCAATAAAACACGACAAAGCATCAATAGGCTTATAATTCTGAGCAAACCCAACAATAACCGACGAGAAACAAACCTCGTCTCTCACAGACATTTCATCAAACACCTTCTTCGCATTATTCGACAACCCAGTTTTAAAATACAATGACACAAGAGCTGACGCCGTAAACAGCTCTGAAGAGAAACCCAATTTGACAGCAAGGGAATGAAGTTGTGCCCCGAAGGTGAGTGAAGGAAGAGTGGCGCATGTTTTGAGAAGGGACGTTAAAGTATGGCTATTGGGTAAGATTCTTGAAGGGTGACGGAGCATGGAAATGAAATGATGAAAGGAAAGCGGTGAGTTGGAGAATGCTGATGTGAGGGCTGTCCATGAAACGACATTGGGTGATGGAATTGACCGGAAAACACGGGCGGCGTCTGATCGGAGATCGGATTTGGAGTAGAGAGTTATGATGTTGTTTAGCACTGCACGGTTAGCTTTTGCGGCGCCTGTTGTGATGGCTCTCGCATGTACGCGCCGTGGGTCTGTTGAATCCATTTCTCAATACTAATTTGCTTGTTTCATTGAACTAATTAAGTAGTTGAATGTTGTCGTGCTAAGTTCTTTCTACCTCCCAAAATAGGGCTACGATTTGCTTATACTCTACTTTTTTAAATTACGCTAAATACGTTGTTCTTGTAGTATTAATCTGAAGAAAATATCAGTACTAACACTAAATATTTTATTGATCAATGGAGCAAAATTAACTTTATTAGTTATCTGTGATGTACTGATAAGTGATAATTCATGTTCTCAACTTTCAAATGTAAGATTGTAACAGCAGCTGACTGTAAGTTCACTATGAAGTTTGAATAACAAAAAGTAACAGAGACATGTTCTTCACTCAAGAAAACATTCCATAGAAACAACAAAACAAATACACAAAAATGATTACATGTACAAACTTTTCAAGAAAGTGCTTTAATCTCAAACAAGTTGGGATCGACTATATGAATCCTCTCTAACCATATTTAACTCTAACAATGCATTCTGAGGAATGTTAAACACTCTGTGCATCTCATCAGTCATGTCATAAGCTAGATCAAAATTTTTGACCAGCTTATATCCCTTGATCATTATTCTATAAGTGACTAAATCAGGAGAGATGTTTGTTTCTCTGATTCTATCAAACAACCTCTGGGCCTCATCCATTCGACGTAACTTGGAATATTTATCGATGAAGCAATTGTAAATATAGACATCAGGAGAGATGTTCTGTCTTACCATCATTCTGAACAACCTCTTCGCCTCATCCATCTGATCTAACTTGCAAAATGCATCAATGAGGCAAGTATAAGTACCAACAGTAGGCAAGACTTCTCTTTTTTGCATGTCAAGGAGCAAAGCACAAGCCATGCTCATGTCTTTAATTTCACAAAAGCCAGAAATCATGGAGGTGTAACAGATGTTATCTGGACTCATACCCTCCCTGACCATTTTCATGAATAGTTTGTGGGCCTGTATCACTTTTATCTGTCTTGCAGATTTTTTCACTTCCCCCCGCTTGCATAGCATGTCAATAAGAATTGTGTATGTGATGATGTTAGGAGTCATCTCAAGTTTAAGCATTCCCATATAAAGCAAACTAGCCTTGTTAAAATGGGACTCTTTAACAAATCCATCAAGAAGAGTATTAAGAATTGTAACATTGGGAAACATGTCCCTCTTAAGCATTACCGTGATTAACTCCAATGCCTTCTTTGTATTTATATCTTTGCACAACTGCTGAACAATTACATCATAGGTAAACAAATTGGGGATGATTCCTCGATCCACCATTTCATCTATCAGGTGCAAGGCTTCCATCACAAGCCCATCAGTACAGTACTGCTTAACAATAAAATTGCAGGTAATGGTATCAGACAGGTAATCTTTTTGTACCATCATAATCCTGTACTTCAATGCTTTATCAACAGACCCCATGTCGCAGGAAGCACGAATCAATTTCAAACAAGTTGAAGCATCTGGAGCCAAGTCATTGCTGATCATCTCCTCCAGTAGCTCATCAGCTGAATTAAGATCTCCTTGAGCACAAAATTCAGTAATTAAAATGTTGTAAGCTGTTTGGTCAACTTTGCACCCAGAATTTTTAAGGTAATGAAAACAATCCTTTGCAATTTTTGCTGCTCCAGCTGCGCACAAACCCTGAAGAATTGAGTTATAGTTAATTGGGGTAGGCTTGATGTTACTATCTTGCATACCTTGAATAGAACATAAATCTCCATCAATAATCCCGAATTTGCCAAACCAACTGACAAGAATGCTATAGCTACATATATCTGGTGTAATTCCAGAATTACTCATCTCATCAAAAACACTTATAGCTTTACTTACTTCGCCTTCAGCAAAAAATCCATGAATGATAGCATTGTAGCAATAAGAATTCAAAGATTGGTTCTCATACCTCAGTTTCCGAATGAATTTCAAAGCAACATCAGGACATCCAATTCTACAGAGTCCATGGAGCCATACACTATATGTTGCAGCGGAAAGACTGATCTCTTTTTCCCGCTTTTCTTTCAGAATCTTATAGGCTTCTTTTATAGATACCTTCTGTGTGCCTGGATAATTTTCACAGTAGAAGTTCATCATGATTGCGTATGTCATCACATCAGGTGAGGGTCCAAAGTTCTTCATTGTTTCAAACAGTCTAGCAAGATTCTCCCCTTGATTAGCTACTGCCAAGCAATTTAGTAGGTAATTACGTGAATGAATACTTGGTTGAAGCCCGATTTCCCTAACCTGATTAATGACATCAATAGCATAATCAAACAGTTTATTTGCAGCAAATACCTTGATGAGTTCATCAGCTACAAGAATTGAAGGTGTAGTATTATTAGTTGAATGCATAACAAGATGCATCACCTTCAATAAGTCAAAACCAGCATTCTGCAAGTAGAAAATCATTTCTTTAAGAAGTGTGTGCACTTCCATATCCATTCCAGCAAAGGCAAATGTATGTATTATCATTCTATAGCCATTTATTGAATGATACAAGCCATACTTTGCCAGAGATTCCACAAAAGAAATCTCTCTCACAACTTTCCAACTCAAAGACTTGCATACTCTAACTACAACTGAATACACCTTGCGACCTTTCCAGTTAAGTGAATTCCTTGTTGGTATAACAGCTTTATCAGAATCATACAACAAGGGTAATGAAGAAGAAGCACCGTGATAGTACTTCCTACAAAGGCTTCTCTGCTCCTTAAAGAAGCCCAATTTATGTAAATGCTTGAATAACAAGCTAAAGGACTTTCTTGGTAACAAACCTAGACCCATAGAAGAAAACTTCTCAACAATTATACAAAGTCTACATTATCACCAAGAAAAATCTTACATTTTTTCTTTTTCTTTGAGTAAAGTTTGCACCTTTATTCAAAATCTCAACACCCATCAAACAAAAAAGATAATATTTGACCCCCACACAAGCTCCAATGGTTTGTAAGCTCTCTAATCCGAAATTCAAAAATCTTGAACCCACAAGAATGAATATTAAAGTTGAAATCGATTGAACAGGACACCCAAACTGAAAAAGATAGGAACAGTTCACCTCAGCACTTCAATTTGAGCCCAGTCTGAGGGGTTATCTTGTTCTTCTTCTTCTCATGGCGGCGGCTCAAAGCATAAGTCAGTGAAGAGCTTAAAAACCCCATAATTTTTCGGCAGTGATAATATAAATTCACCTCTGAATTGAGTATTTGGCGGCAGCTTCTGCGTTTACTGTGGTGTTCTTGTGCTGGTGCTTTTCAAACTTTGGCAAATAATTTAGATTTTATTTTTCGTCAAGTAATACTATTTATTATTTAATACAATGTTTAAGTACTTGTCCTATTATTAGGTTTTAAAGAGTGTAAATTTGAAAAAAAAAATTCTGCGATCTTAAAGTTCAGCTATCGATATTCTTTTAAATGTTATTCTATTTATTTTTATTTGTTTAATTTATTAAAAGTAATTATTCAATAATACTAAAGTTTGAAAAATCTAGATAATTACATATTATTAAATACTATTGAATAGTGAGAGCAGAAAACTTAAAAGAGAACAAGAACACCTTAGCATGTTGATTTCACTGTGATTTAACTCCTGCGTATAAATGAATAGAAAGAAATTGATCAGTGTGTGTTATTCAGTAACTCAAATAGCTGCTGCTGTAGCAACATTTACATTATCAGATTCATCAACAATCATTTCATCACGAAATAGCAGTTTAAGATATGGAAGAACTCTTGGAAGCATGGGTAGGTCTGCTAAGTTAACACTCATCATATCAAAAGCAATGCTTGTTTTGTGCATGTGTGTTTCGTCAAAAACTGGAATTTTAGGGTATCTTTGACTGAAATGAGTGAGGATGATTCGATATGCTCCAGCAGCGTCCCCTACTTCAATAGCTTCCTGTGTTGTGCTGTGATTTCTCGCTATGGCTTCTTCCACCATGCCATCTTCAAAGGTAGCCTGCATTAAAACCCCGAAAATTTTATATATGCTAAAATGGGGAACATGTGGCAACTGAAATTTTTATGAGAATTGTTAAGCCAAGAGTATAGCATGTTGTAAGATTCTATTGAAAACTTGGAAGGATTTATTGTGTAATCAAATAGGGGGAAAACCATAAAGACATTTCACAACTTGCCTCATGAATAAGAACTGTGGCCCCATGGGACGCTGCAACTAGTTCTGGACAAGGCCTCGTGTCGCCAGAGTAAACAATTTTCCACCCCGGTATCTTTTTCCCAGTGCTGTTAGTCCTATCCGCCGCCTTCAGGACAACACCATATGCTTGTGGACAATGAATAACAGGAAAGCTGATCAGTGCTTCCAATCCTGCTTCTCTCAGAATTCTCTTCAACATTGCCAGCACTGGGAATGCTGCAGATGCATCAGCTGGGCTGCCTGGCCTCTTCCAATAACTCTCCATACGGCTACCTTTAGCAAATAAGTTAGAACCATTCTTTTGGTCATTTTGTACACCTACACTCCCATTAGCATCCTTGTTTTCACCTGAATCAGAAGTCCTCAATGAAGCTTCTGTAGTTTGCCTACAATCGAGGAACTGCATATCTAGGTCCTCAAGCTTTTGGTATGCATCAAGGAATATCTTAAGCTGTCGTGGTCCCACAACAACTAAAGGTTCATGAGGAGTTTCATAAAGTAAATCGCGTCGGAGAGCAAGTATTCTTGCAATACCAGTATGATGATCAGCATGAATATGAGAAATCCAAATGCACCTTAGACCTTTTACAGCTTCATCAGCACCTTCAATGCCAAATCTGTTTACCAAGCAGCACATTATCCCTCAAACTGCGGTTAGACAAAAACCATATGTAAAATTGATATCAATGAGCTTATATATTACCTTCTTTTTAGCTGTCCCAATGTTCCTTCACCACAATCTAACAGAATACTTCCCTTTGAGAAAAGATTGATAAAAATGGAAGTGACATTTCGATATTTTGAAGGCTGGGAAGAACCAGTTCCAAGAAGAACAATCTCCATATCCTCTCTTGTTATACCTTCCAAACAACTAGGTAATGCAGTTTCATGCAACCAGGGCTCTTCTATCACAACATTGTTGGCCTGCAATGTCGTGCTGCCTCCATTTGCAATGTTGTTACCATGATGCAACAGTTGGGTAATATGCTCAGAAGCATCCACAATTTCAGGAATTTCTGTAATTAAGTCTTCTATGATTTTTGGCCGAGAAGTAATTTCAGGAATACCAGATCTGTCTAAACCAAGCTGTGCATATGGGCGAAGATGGAACTGTTCCACAAAATAGTAGTTCATTTTGAGTGATGTCCAACCCAGCATCAAAGTCAAACAACGCATGAGGTAAATTGCAGTCAATTCCACAGAAAAGCTCAAATACATTCCGAACCAAACAAAACCAAACTTGGCATACAGTTTCTAGATTCTAACTCTACCCAATAAGGCGATCGGATCAAATATATAAACTCTCACCTTGAGGAGGTTCTCTGCCGTAATAACTTGACATGAAGCTGGAAGAGAGAACTGCAGAAACAAAATAAAGATAATTTACCAATTAAACAAGCATCCCCAATATTAATTCTCTGTCCAAAGTAAACTTATCTTCCATTCAAGCATAATTCCAATATAATGTACCTCACTTGGACCCTTAGAGACTGAGGGTAAGCTCTTTAACTGCTGAAGAGACCAAAAACCAGGCGAAGGAAAGAATTGAGGGCACAAGTAGTTCAGCCTTGTGGCGATTCTTGCACTAGACTTCAGAATTGGAATCTCAACATTCTTCCTGCGATTTGTACAAGAAAATCATGCTGATACATAAGCAGGAAATACATGTAAACAGCAGAAAGATGTATATCAGCCTTAAAAGAAGAGAGCATTCTAAGGTTACTCACAGCTGATGTCCTGCCATGACGTGCTGCACCTCACCAAATCTTGACATCCATTGCTGATATTCAGTTGTACACGTTACTGAAGCAGGACTAAGGTGTATCACACAATCAACTTCTTTGCACATTTCCTTGGATTGTTTGGATGGATCTGAGTAATACGGAGTGAGAGAATGTATAGACGACAATTCTTGCAGATGAGACGGTGTTGGGCAGTCAACAACGAGTACAATAGGACCAGGAACAGAAGGCCCCAATACATCACTAGGGTGAACCTGCACAATGCTCACTGAAATAATGAGATGAGTACAAAGTGAAGTAACAGCAAATAATAATCCCTATTCTTACCATGATGTCTTGATGATCTGACTGTACAGAATTCCCGAGTTGCAATTCACGGCATTTTGGGCCAAGTCTCAACCCAAGAGCAGCAGCCTTTTTGGGATCAAACTTTCCCTTAATTTCAGGCAACTCACAGATATACACTACAGCAAGATCCCCAGGCTTCAATGCAAATTCAGCTGTGGACTGCATCCTCTCTGCTGAAAGATTTTCACCAACTAGTGAATCATCAAGTTCAGAGGATCCTGCCTTTGTCGTCTTAGACACTTTTGAGTAACGTGGTCGCAACAGAACAGCAGATATTTTGACAACCTCATCGTTAATAGGAACAAAGAGTTCATCAGTAGCCCCCGAAGAATCAATAGGTGGGCCAAAACTACGTGCATGGACCATGGCGGCATTTGGGATGAATGATTTCATTGCATTGACCAAGTACTTGAGATCAGAAGGACCCCATACATTGACCTTCAAAATAAAATTGTAATCAGTATCATTTTGTTAAGATCATTTACATCAGCCAATTATCTGATCGATATTATACAAGTAAACCAAGTTAATCTGACACTCACAGACATTCCTTCTTCTCCCATGCCAGCCAAAGTCAATAAAAGACCTGCAAGCAAAAGAATTTAACATATTTAGTGGTTCTTAAACAACCTCTGGCAATCGTTAAGCCAGCACTTGTATCTTTCCAGCATTGATTAATCTAGTCACCCATAAGAAAAGCTATAGAAACAGACCTGGGAGTCCACCGGCAGTTTCTGAACAGACTCGCGACAGAAATATGTGATCAATCTGGGAAAGAAGAACGAAGAAAAAAAATGTATATACATCTTCCACAATAAGATCAACATCATACTTGAAAGAACAGTTCAGAACTATAAACCTGATTACGAACAAACGGTTTATACATATCCATAGTTCCATACCTTTGATAGCTTAATTTTATGCTCTGTGCAGAAGCGTTGCAATCCCTGAAGCAGAAGAACGGATTTAGATACAAAGAAATACGTCTTACTGTATTTTTTCTGTTTCATCACAAAGGAAATAAGAACCAAAAGAGAGCAATAAATGCATATGAATGGGAAACAATCTGCAGAACAACATTGTGGAAAGAAAACCCACTAGGATAATGGTGATGCAGGAAGTAGATGACCAATTAACCATCATTAAAAAGCACAGTTCCTCATTAGAAATTTGTCAAAGACACTTAACCAAAAACATTCTTAATACCAGACAAAAAGTATGAGTTGCTATTCATCATAACTTGAAATATGCTGCATGTGGTCTTATCATCTCTTCCTGTACAAAATCTAATAGCCAGTTGGTCCCTATGGATCATATCCATGCAGTAATTTAGTCATGAGAATAATAGAATTACAAAAACTCAAGGAACCCTTGCAAGAATTAAATTAACTTAATAAGTAGCTCCACTTTCAGATTCAGGTAGGTATTCTGCTTCCTATAAGACAAAGGCCCTAAGGTTTCAATGCCATTATAACAACATACCCAGTAATCCCACAAGTTGGGTCTGTCGAGGGCCACAATTTGGGTTTTGGGAGGGAAAGATATACGCAGATCTTATCTCTACCTTTGTGGGGTAGAGAGGCTGTTCCAAAATATGAAATGTACATCTTGACTAAAAACACAACACCCAAATAGGATCAAATTATCCTGTTGGTGTCATCTGAAACAGTAGAGGAACCAAATGGCATACACATTGGATTTGAACTCGACAATATAACATACTTACTTCTCCAGCATTAAAAATAAACCTCTGTTTATCAAAGAAGAGAAGGACTGAGGGTGTTGTATCTTGTGTATCCATGCCAGTCCCAAGGATCTGTGAGAATTTAAAGGAAGAGAAGTCAATGACTTTTCAATTTCTTCGCGAGGAAGTGAGAGAGGAACAATATCAGTTATTAGATTCACATAATCATAAATTTGGGAAATAAGATTCCAATCCAACCAGACAAAACCTTTGCGCGTTCAAGTATATGACCATAATCATAGGAACTTTAGAGTCCCTTCATGCAAAAATAAATTGTCAAATCTGCCTTAAATATACCCCAAAAAAAAATTA